AACACAAAAGTACTTCACACTGGGGGCTGGGCTTGCATTTTGTGGGTCAGTGAACAGCAGCCAAAGCAGCAATGCCATGTCATTCAGACCCTGCTCCCCTTACACACCCGCTTTTCCTTATACTTCTTCTGGTATCAGCAAACAGAGAGGTGGAACACTTTTGAAAGCACTGGGGAGTTTTTGTGTACTGCCAACATAAAATGCACCCACTGTTTTCCACCACACTCTCAGTGAGGGGCCCCAAATCCCTAGTTAAGGAATGATGGATTCACGTCTTTGTTCATACATTTTGACGACTATCGCCCAAACATCATTGGTGCTACTACTCACATTATTTACAAATGAAATTCCTGCATTCAACATTTCACTTATGTAGAAGTACAGACATATTTGCAACAAAATGTATTTAAATAAATGTAGCAATTATTCAGAATTGCCTCTGTCAGTGTTACATTATTATTTTATTTAATCATTATTATTGATGCATTGATATATATAAGTAGTACTTTAATGTTGTAGTTGGCTATGGTTGATCTTATTTTAACTATTTCATATAAAAATATTTATAACATTGCATCATATTTTATAAACATATGTTGTGTTTTCTATGTAAAATCCTAACCTGAAAAGTAGCTACAAACTGTAGCTCATTAACTAAGTACAGCTGTTGAGTAAATGTACCACTGTTAACCACTGCTGTATGTTTAACTTTGATTTTTGTTCATTTATTCTTTAACGATATATTTGCTTTTATTGGGTGTTTAAAAAAAAATTCAGTAGGACAGAATCTGAATCACTGAAAAAAATGTTGGTGTTGATTCAGAGGTCTGGCTCCACACTATGAGAGACACTACATTTTTTGAGATAATCCTGTGGGTTGCAAAAGGTTTCATGAGCCTATAAGGTAGGAATTTTCTGCCCACAGAGGAGTGTGCAATCCTTATCTCATAACATAACAATCATACAAGGCCATAGTGCTTTACAGCACAACAAAAACCATCACATGTGATGACAAAAACATACAATATCTCTGCTCAAGAAACACAGCACTGTTCAAAACAATGAGGAAAATGCTAAGTTAATTCTTCAGTTTAGTCCTGTGCATGTACTGAAGGTCGCTGTATCATGTACTGATAAACTACGCAAATAAAATACAACAGAAACTTGAATTTGAAATCAGTAGTCTCTGCATACCAAGGTCAATACAAAAGTCTCTCATCAAATTAAAATAAAAGCCATAAGTCCACATATTGTAAAGAATCTACCGGCAAAACCGTGCATTAATAACACCACCAGAAAAGCAGCTCCAAACAACAAATTTTTTCTCTACTTCGCAAAAAGGGAATGAATGTTGCAGAAACTTTTCTATTCTACACTGAGGCATAATGTGCTGTGTTGTCTGCATTGTTTTTCCTCCATGTCCTCAGTCATCTCCTCACAAAAGCTCCACATGCCGCCTCTGGAAACACTACCTATCCTAATAGGAATGTGGGGCGAGTGATTGTTGTGAATGTGGGATGTGTTGTGTGTGGAGTAGCATTCAGAGACTAAAGACAGAACACGCTTCAACAGGTTTTCATCTTATGAAGAGAAGAAACGTGAGAATGTGGTCAAAACGTGGCCCATTACTCATACATACATGGGTTAAATCTATTTGTGGCTTTGCCCTGATCACTCATTTCTGTCTACATTAGCACTGACCTCATGCATCAAAGAGCAGCTGTAGAAAAAATTTATTAGCATTGCAGGTACAGACTGGAATATACTGTGGAGAGAAGCCAAAGAAATATATTTAGAAGAATTGGATAACCTTTGAAATACAAAGCAACTACAAATGAATCTTGCCTTTAAAGCTACACATTAAAAACCCAAAACAGCCAACCATAAAATTACTTGAGGGATGAAAGAGTCATTTAAAAAAGAGCCTTTCTTCATTGTTCAGTATCATGTTCTCTTATTTGTATGTAACAGGTTGTGTATTCAAATGTACCGCAGACTGAGGTCACCGTAATCCTGCTCGTCTGCCAAGTAGAAGTCTGAGCTGACTGAAAAGTGCCTGAAAGTGAACTCTCCTTCAGTAAAAGACCCGTGTTAAATGTAATGGGTGTTAGCAAAGGGGCCTAATAAAGATGACAGCACACATTCATATGCATTCTTTTGTATGCTCAGCTTGACGAAGTCTGCCCCTCGTGCTTAACAAAGGGGAGGAAGGAAGCCAGGGGCTGTGGAGAATGCTGGGGGTGTGGGGTGACAACACACACACACACAGTGGCCCTCCTGCTTGCCTCCTGTGGTTTCTCAAGTCTGAAGTTATAGCAGTGACAGCTGGGTAGCATGGGCTCATTCTGTCTAGTGGCCAACCCCTCTCCTCTACACACACAAACGCACACATACACGCACACAGGATGCTCCATCCTGTTTACTGTTTACACTTCACAGTGGCTAGCCAACTTGGGAGGGCCCTACGGTGTGATCTGCACACATTACAGCTGTTTTTAAGGTGTGTGTGTGTAACCTATGACAGAATTTGGGATTAAACTATAATAAATCGTTCAGATTCTAAGTTAATTCTTGACCATGAAATCAGCGCATGACAAAACACCATTTAAGTGGCTTTTTCTAGAGGTTTTATTCACATCACAGATAGCTACTGTCATGATTAAACTTGGCATTTTTGTGATTACGTTTCTATCCATATACGTATATCTTAAAATCACTTTAAAAATATAAGGTTTAAAGAAATGTAAAGTTCTTTCTTGACCTTAGAAACAGCAGTTGAAAAAGATTGTGTGATGTGACTGAACTCTCCAAAACAGCTATTAAAGGAATCAGATTGTTTTATAGCAAGCTGTGCCATTAAATGCTTATATTTCTCATAGGAATGTGAACATCCAGACAACACAAAGACTTCCGGCTAGATAAAACCAAGGAAACACAAGTTGTAGTCAAAATTTAAGTGTGTTTCTAAGTGGCTACGTAACCTTAGGTGGTTGACGTGCATTATTTGTGACCCATGAAGCTGCTGAGTCAAGGTCCGCACTGTATTGACCACAAATGTTCAGAGGAGGAAAAAGGAGGACACGAAAGGGCAACTGCAGTGTGGTCCACAACAATCAGATCACACTATCTGGCCAAAAGGGCACCTGCTTTGTTTGCATTAGGTCTGGATGCAGAGGATGACATGAGACAGCTGAGTAATGCATGGCAAACAGGAGCTAATGTTTCCTCACTAAAGTCAGATGTTTGTGTTATTCAGACCTTTCATTACTGATTTTAAAATTGTAGAACATCAGTAGGCTATGTTTTTTTTTAATGGTTTTCACTGAAGGCGACATGAAGTGTCATGGGGTAGGACTGGAAGAGTCTGACTTCTTCCTACTCCATTCAAGCATGTACTAGGTATAAGCAAATTGATATTGGATTAGCATTTGTTTAATATGTGTAAAATTATGTGTGTTGACATATCAACTGTCTTTACATGCTTGAAAGAATAAATCAAATCAAAAATCAAAATCAGTCAAATCAAATCAAGTGCTTCTGACTGTGAAAAGTACAGGGTGGACCACGGAAAAGTAGCCCGCCTCCAAAACAATCCACTTGTTTGGGGCTACTTTTCCGTGGCCCACCCTTTATATGACACACAGGGCAGCTATACTGCTCAGAGACCAACAGGGGTCCCTCTTGTTTTGACAATGCACTGCAGTCTACAGCTGCCCCCAGGTGACAGGAAACAGCCAGAGACACAAAACTCAGATGATAAAATCCACAGATAAAAGAAAGTGACTTCCTCGTCGACATTATAGAGAAATGAATTCACAGTTTTTTTTGTGATTTTTAAGTATCATCTAACCATGGTGCCAACATGTCAGCTGTGAAATGAACATTTATTCAAGAAGTGCCAAGAAATTTGTAATATATAAATAGGATTGAAGTGGATAAAGGAGTTAGAAGACTACCTTATACAGTCTTTGAAGGCTGTACCTATAAATGTCAGCCCATTATTTTAACCCATTCAATGCTCAATCTGACTGATACCAATCAATCACTCAGCATTTCAACTAGACACATAATACTGACCTTATTCATTTTAAAATTGTAAAGACTGTGGCATCTTTGTGCCTTATTTAGAGCAGTAGTGAATGCTACTTTTCAGCAATAACAATTTACACTTAATTTACAATTTAGAACAAAGCTTGGACTGTACCTCATTATGGATGCTTGTTGGAATTCAACAAGAAGCTGTAGAATTAGAGAATGGTTTAATTTTTACTTTCAGTCTCTAAGAGAAGAACACGTTGGTTTACAGAATGCATTATGATGCAAGTTGTAGTGGTTCTGACCTTTAATCAGTCTCACACATAAAGGAGGTGTTGTTTCACCACTTGCCGTTTGTGTGGCTGACAGACCTGCAGGCTACCTGTCACAACTGACAGTCAATAGTCAGGAGGCGACCTGTGATCGATAAAGGGCTAGGCCACACTGTCCTCTTTTCCAAAACCATCAACATGACAATAAACTACAGTCAGCTAATATGGTCTTAAAATAGATTTCTACAGCTAGCCTAATCACATTACAGCTGATTAATATTAATAGCCTAGGGTTGATGATCCAGCCTTGGCGTATTGCACCAGTGAAGTAGGCTACAGTGAAACCATATAGGGCTATACATGTAAAACAGCTGTCATTAAAAGCATGCTATGGCAGAAGTACACTAATCAGCCACTTTATTAGGTACACCTGTACAATTTTATGCAATTCAATGCAAAACGTCCGCCGTAACATTTGTGTTTATGAAGCTCAAAAGGTTTCAAATTGTCGTATTAGAAAATATTTCTGACTCTTAGAAAAAGATAAACTTGTGTCCCCCATTAGCAACGTATGGTATGAGCGGGACTGTGTCACGTGATTGTTACCGGAAGTGTTTTTGGCTGGTGCGGCAGCGGGTTGTTCATGCCAGCGGAGTGTAGGTTTGTGATAAGACACTTTTTTATTTTTATTGTTTTTTTTTTTTTTACGTCTGTCAGGGTGTATTTGTTGTTCTTATTGTCTGACGTCTTTGTGGTGACATTACAATTGCAGCATTAAGAAAATGATTGTAGAGCATTGTGTGTGTGTGTGTGTGCTTGTATCAAGTGAAGTTTGACAGCTGGCAGGTGGAATCGTGTCCGTAAAAATCGTCCACGTTTCATCTCTCGGTGTAACGCTATATTTGCTTTTTGTTCATTTTTGTAGTGCGTTTGTAACGCTATGTTTTGCTTCACAGAAACGAGGAAGTGACGCATAGCCGAAATAGCAACAAATAGTGTAAAAAAAAAATCTTGCGCGGTGGAGGTAACGTACGTTAACAATTGTTTCTCCAGTTCTGGGGGCCACTTTCATTTTTATTGACACTGTCTTTGTGTAAAGCTTGAATAGCCTGGAGCCGAGAATGAACCCCCCGAGGTTATTTTTGTGATGCTTTGTTTCCTGGTTAGCCAGAGCCGAGCAGGAAGCCACATAGTTCGTAGGGGTACACAGCCCTTTGCGCAACACGTGTGCAGCAAAAACCAGGATTGTTTTAAACAGGGAAGTGAATCTGGGGCATCGAAGGGCATCCTGCGTAAAAACTGCGCCAAATCGCGCATGCAAAGACGGTGCTCCCACCCGATGAAGCTAATATCTTCATAAAATGACACAAATCACCCCCTGGGAAAAATGTACTTGATTTGTACTTTGAATGATTTTTTGGGGGGGGCTCATGACCCAGCTGCTATAGAGGGGGCAGGGATTATGGCCTTTACTGCAACCGGCCACCAGGAGGCAATTGACTGTTGGTGCCTTCACTTCTGTCACATTGTCTGTATTTATACACAGCCTATTGTTTGGCTAAAAGTAAGGGCGCTGCCTTGAGAAACAGGTTTGTCTTTATACCAGAGAGAATAGGAGTCTGATATGTCTGACAATGTTAAGTGTAAATATAAAACCAATAATTCCATGGAGGCCCAAACTGGTGGAAGCCTGTAACTTCTGTGTAAAATTGAATGTACTGTGCATCTGCATGTCTTCACCTTGTTACTGGACTCTTGCTATCTAACAAGAAGTGGCTGTCCATCAGCTGAACTTGATTTGCATGGATGCAAACATGGAGGTAAAGGCAAACATGGAGGTAAAGGTTTTATCAGTAATGCGTATGCAAGCTCTTGATGAGTACTGTAAAAAAAAAACAAATTTTTTGCCTTTTCCTCTGCATCGTAATGTAATGGTTGTGAGGTGCAAGCAGAAGCATCTCTTTGGTCGCTTTTGTATGGCTAATTATCAGAAGCATTGTTTCAGGTCGTATCAAAAACAGCACTTTCGGTACTGTTGTTCTAATCCTATCCCAGTCTTCTAAGCAAAATAAACTATTCCTGAGGATCACATCTCATCTTTTTGCTGACTTGGTGTTTGGCATAATACGTAACTGCTTGAAAAACAAAGACATAATTTACATCTCAGCCCATTTCTTTTCCCCCAACTCTTTACAACATTGACATCCACATATTCCATGTGTTGTGATGATATAGAATTTATTATCACACAATTTACAGTTCACAACTGGAATTGTGAAGCATGTACCTTGAACTAAGGGCTAGAGAGCAATAAAGCTGAATAGACGGTTTCTGATTATCATGAGTGAATAGTTTCCCTGCAGTTCTTTTAGAAGATTTGGTTTATCTACAGCAGACCATAGTACTGTGACTAATGACTAGTGCAAAGGCACAAACAGGATACAGCCGTGTCCTTGCACTGCTTTCTCCAGTCATGAACAAAGCTGTTCACCCCCTTTGTACATGTGGTAAATGTGCTCTGTTTAATGTGGGATTGTTTGGCACCTGGAATTGCTGCTTGATACAAAGAAAAGCTAAATGGTGGAAACTTCCACCAGAATAAAAGTCAGTGCCAGGAAGTTTTGTGCAAAGGTCATTTGAGAGTAATGTATGATGGGTTGTATATGCAAAGGAGGATAAAGGGTGGCCTTTGTGTTCATGTTTGCTTTTTGTTCACTATTTATGGCAAAAGCAGTTGGAGCCGAGGAATGAGAAGAATAAACAATAATGTAGAAGTCAGTAGTGAAAACAATAAGAGGAGTACTAGCAGTGTGCAGTTTTTAGAGTAGTGTAAGAAAATAAAACGGATCAGTGTGTTTTGTCAGTTTTTTATAATTATCCAGCTATGTTGTGTAAGTTTGAAGATGTTAATCTTTCACATCTTTATATAAGAAGTATTATTTGTGATTTTCAAAAAGTCTACAGTTTTAGATGTAGTAATCCTTACAACAGTAAATCACAACTGAATTTCAGCTCTAGTTAAAGCAGTCAGCATTCACTAGGTGGCCTTTGCTGTTTGCATTGCCACTGTGTAAACATGACTGTGGACTGCAGGGTTTCCAGATGTTACGTCAGTCATAAAATCAGCTGCATTAACTATAATGTAGGTGTTGTATACACAAACACTCACAAGTTAAAGTTAAGAGCTACTAAATAAAAATGGTGCTATCTCAATTTCTATTTGGTATTTCAGAACTGAGTAAATTAGTATTTTTATTTTCATCATGCACAGCTTTATTTCCTGTTGGATATTGGATTACACAAATAACCAGACCTCTGTAGCTGCCCCTAATCTCTGCTTGAGGCTGTAGCAACCTCAGGCTACGGGTTTAGCAAACTCTGATCTGATTAATATCTGAGCAGACTGTTGGGTTTGTGCATATGTCCAGATAGTTTAAGCTTCCAGGCTATGAAACTAATGGGACCCTGATACCTACAGCAGAACGAGTCCCCGCCAATCTTTACTTTCTTGTGTTTTTAGATCTTTTAAGTCACTTAAAAGTACTTTTAGATGTGTTATTGCTCTGAGGTCTTGAGAGGTTTGACTCCTAACTGTCCAGTGTTGCACTATTAAAAACCAAATGTTATGTTGGATAAAGAAACATGTATTTTCCTACAGTATAATAAGAGTGCTTAAACTGTAGCCAAGACTGGAATACTCCTCCAGCTTCTCGATTTTCGTTGCAGCCTTTCCAATCTCACTAAGTAAATTATTTCTGGTCCTTGTAAAATCATCAATAAGTTGGTCAGACTTTCTCTGCTCTTTATCAATATCAACAGAATACTTTTACTGGAAACTCAACGCCCCTGAGCAAAGTGCAAAGTCTATATCCCTGCTCTAGTAGTAGCAGGTAATTACTACACTCATCATTATCACATCTGAAGGGACTTCAAAAAAGCTGGGGACCGAGACTTTGCTAAGTAATTTATTGTATTTCATCTTTGGAGAATAGGTTCCATTGTTTTTAAGTTTTCATTGTTTTACAGGAAATGCAGCTTTTTTTTTTTACATGTGTATGTTAAAAATGTTGAAGGTTCATTTTGTGAATGCGACTTAAATCATTTCTTAGTTTAGTGCTTCTATTATGTTGAAAGTATTATGAAACTGCATTGATTGTTTCGGTCATTTCAGGCACTCCCCTCTTAATTGTGAGGATTTTCCATTTTTCTTTCTCATGTAAAGACGTCTTTACATTTTGGACACCAGACATTTGAATACACTGCCCTGGGTTATGGGAAGATATAGTGGACATACTGTATTTTCTTACATTTACAGGCAAAACAATCAATCAAGAAAATAACAAGCAGAGCAGCAGTTGATAATAAATAGTTGCAACCCTCCAAGCCTTTTATTGTGATGTGTGATATGCTTGGTGCAAATCAAATATTAAGGTTCAACTTGATGTGTTAATTTTGCTGGATTGCCAATGTGTGATGTCTGTCGTTGTTTTCAAACAGGGGTTTGGACATTTAGAACCAGCATGTTGGTGACTGTGCTCCTGCTTCTGGTCACTCTGTGTGCCAAGGGAGGAAATGGAGTTGAGACAGAGGAGGTGCGGAGGCCTGGCCATGTTTCAGTGGTGATAGTAGGAGGCACAGGTGACTTGGCAAAGAAGTACCTGTGGCAGGGCTTCTTCCAGCTGTACGTTAACCAGGTCAATAATGGAAACACATTTTCCTTCTACGGCGGAGGACTGTCACCTGCAGACCAGGCCACACCGGTGCTGTTTGATATCCTAAAGGCAGTGTCCTGCTCAAAGGATGTATCTCAGGAGCGCTGCGCTCTTCTGAAAGAGCAGTTCCTTCGTCTCTCTCGGTATCGGCAGCTGAAGAGCCTTGAGGATTATCAGGACCTGGCTAACCACATTGAGAAAAAACTTGAGGAAGAAGGAATGACGGAGGCAGGGAGGCTTTTCTACCTCTCAGTGCCAGCTTTCGCATATGCAGATATTGCTGATAAAATAAATAGTAGCTGCAGGTCGACCAATGGGGCCTGGCTGAGGGTAGTGCTAGAGAAACCTTTTGGACATGACTTTAGGAGTGCTCAGGTACTAGCGTCTCAGCTCGGGAGTTCATTGAAGGAAAATGAAATGTACAGAATTGATCATTACCTGGGCAAACAGGTAATGATTCCCTCCAAAGTATTTCCCTTTCACCTGTGAATTTGTAGACATGTTTAATTTCATGGTATGTTTTCCTGCTTTTATGAAAAGGTGATCGCAAAGATACTCCCATTCAGAGTAGAGAACAAGAAGTTTCTGGATCCCATCTGGAACAAGCAGCACATAGAGAGAGTGGAGATTGTACTGAAGGAGACCCTGGATGTTAAAGGTGTTTGAGACTGCATCGATACTGTAGTTGTTTTTACATATGAAAAAGTAGCTAGGATATGGTCAATTGTTCATCTCTTCTCTCGTCCTCAAGGTCGCATTCCCTTCTATGACCAGTACGGAGTGATCAGAGATGTGCTGCAGAACCACCTGACTGAGGTCATGGCCCTATTGACAATGAGGCTTCCCAGGAATCTGAGCAGCAGTGAGGAGGTCCTCCAAAACAAGCTGCAGATCTTCAGTTCCTTGCTGCCTTTAGGGAAGAATCAAGCTGTGATCGGCCAGTACCAAGCATACAGATCAGAGGTGCAGCAGGAGCTCAACAAGACAAAAGATCATGTCAGTCTCACGCCAACATTTGCAGGTGAGTATTGATTTCTAGTTATGATTTTATGTTTTCTTAACTGTTGTTTAGAAATTCTCTACAACAAAAACAACATATATTTTGGCTAATAAGTGATTCTGTTTTTGTGTTTCAGCTGTATTGGCACACATTGATGAGGCCCAGTATGAAGGTGTGCCACTTCTAATGATCTCAGGAAAGATGTTAGATGAACGTGTGGGTTATGCACGCATACTTTTCAAGAATGACATCTTTTGTCTGAAGAACCACAACAGCATTCACTGTAAGCCCAAACAGATAGTTTTCTACTTTGGGCATGGCAGTCTTCAGTATCCAGCAATTCTTGTAAGTAAGAATTTATTCAAGCCAGATTTAATTAACAGTGAGTGGAAGGAAGTGACCGAGCACTCAGATATCAGTGTTTTAGGTTTACCTATATCAGACTATTATGTGCAAACTCCAACGGAGCAGAGGGACGCTTATGTGGAGCTGATTTCTTACATATATGCTGGACGTAAGAATAGTTTCATTAGTACTGAAAACCTGCTGGCTTCCTGGGGCTTATGGACGCCACTGCTCAGTAGCCTAGCCAGCTCTTTTCCCCGCATCTACCCTGGTGGTGCTGACAATGAAGGTCTGCTGGACATCCGTCTGAAAGGGAAAGACATTGCCTACAACAGTGAAGTGGTGATAATCAGCCGTGACCAGATGGGGGGCACATCAGGAAATGGTTTTCAAGTGATGCAAGGTAAATTTCGTAGTGCCGACATGGTGTCTGCCTGGGCTGAGGAGCTAGTGGAGAAGCTGGCTGCAGACATACAGGAAGCCGCCGAGGCAGCAGTGCATGAGAGCGGTGTTTTCCATCTCGCGCTCTCTGGTGGGTCTACACCTCTCGCTCTGTTTCACAGATTGGCCCTGCACCATTTCTCCTTCCCCTGGAGGAACACCCACGTGTGGATGGTTGATGAGCGCTGCATCCCGCTGACTGAAGTGCAGTCTAACTTCTACAGCTTACATAACCACCTACTACAGCATGTAAGGATACCCTATTACAACATTCACCCCATGCCAGTGCAGCTCAACCAGCGTTTATGCGTAGAGGAGGACGGAGGAGCACAGCTGTATGAGAAAGAGATCAGCAGGTTGGTTAATGGTTCCAGCTTCCATTTTGTACTGTTGGGGGTCGGCTATGATTACCACACAGCCTCCCTGTTCCCCGGTCACAAACTGGATGAATTTGGTGAGAGTCTGGTGGCCCTCACTGAGAGCCCTGCCAAGCCTCACCAGCGTATGAGCCTCACTTTCAGTGCCATTAATCGAGCCCACAAGGTTGCTATTTTAGTGATGGGCAAAGGCAAACACGAGCTGATCACACAGCTGAGCCGAGTGAAGGACAATCCAGACAAGTGGCCTGTCACTGGGGTGAAGCCTGCTAATGGCAGAATGGTTTGGTACTTAGACTATGATGCAATTATAGGATAGGGATTAAATTCCTAACTTTCAATCAAAAATGTCTTTAAAGCTCTTCATTTTAAAAGAAAAGGCTGCTCATTTTCTACATTAACGGGGTATTTAACACTCCCCATACAGAGACTAAAACCAAGAATGAATGTCTTCTATTCACTGTTGTCTGTCCTGGATTAGTTTATTCATCTGTGGCCTAGATCTCCATTGTTCAGTAACAATTTAAAAACACATCAGGGAAACACACTGTTGCACTGGTTGACATGTTGCCTCATTATGAAATGCCAGACCCTAATATTTTAAGAACATGTTGCCACAAAGGCTCTGAATGGCCCTAACCTTTTAAAGCATCTAAAGTAAGCAAGAGTCAAGGCCTCATGCACAAGATCTCTGGATATTCTTAACCAATATCAGGGTCTTGTGTCATAATGAGGAAATATGTTACTAAGTGCTGCAGTGTGTTTCCCTATTGTGTTTTTGTCTTTGAACTTCAGTGGAGGTTTATGGCACAGACAAATAAGATAATCCAGGACTGACAGACATAAATCATGAGTGGAAGCAGATTATTGTTTGTAGTCTCTGACTAGGGAGTGTTGAAAATACTTGGGCAGCACAGTGGTTAGCACTGCCGCCTCACAGCAAGATGGTTCTGGGTTTGCATTCCAGCCAGCACAGTCTAAAGACATGCAGCTTAGGTTGATTGGTGACTCTAAAGTGTCACTAGGAGTGAGTGAGTGAGTGTGTGTGTGGTTGTTTGTCTACATGTCAGCCCTGTGATAAACTGGAGGTCTGTCCAGGGTGTATCTCGCCCAATGTCAGCTGGGATTGGCTCCAACCCCCCTGTGACCCTATTCAGGAATAAGTGGTATAGATAATGGATGGATGAAAATTCTGTTGATGTAGAAAATGGCTGGCCTCATCTTTTAAATTCAGCAGCTGGTTGGTGAAAACAAATGTATGAGAACCTACATTTTAGCTTGTTGACTGCAACTCACATATACAAGAACATGAAGTGTAAAACCTCATTTGAATTGCTTTTTTCTGTCTATGAGAGTTGTCATGGTTTATCTAAGCCTATTAAATGTGAGATTTTATACGCACCAGATGTTGTAAACATCTGGTGTTGTAAAGCCAATTCCAACAAAAACACAAAGATTGTGGACTTGCTTTAACCAAGGGTATTCCTGTGTTTGCGTTGTGTTAAATCTCAGGTGAATATGTGAATCTTTAGGTGTACTGTATAATTGACATTTCTTAATTGTATATTTTATATTGTTGAGTAGCAACTGAAAATGAGACTGGTTCTATAAATAATATATTTTGTTCATGTAATAATGAGAAAAGTCCAAGTTTACAGGTCCATAGGATCAAAAACTTTTTACAGGAAAAGGAAACCAAAGAATCAGTCATGTTCATGAAGTGTTGATTTATATACCTGTCTGGGGGTTTTCTTTAAGGTGGAGAGCTGTTGAATTACAGCAGCCATGTTATTAAGAATAAGTTAGAGATGGTAAAACTGCCTGTGACATACGGTATCATTACAAAGTATTTTTCCTGTGTACTGTAAGTGGAGCACTTTGATGCATCACAATGGCAAACTAATCCTAATCGACTTTAGAATTATTAGATTGTTTCCCACATATGAATTCATATTTTGATTTTTTTTTTTCACAGCTTTATCATTTTTCAGTTTTAAAGTTTGGCTTATTAGATATGAAAGTTACAAATTTAAATTCATTTGTGATGAATGCATATTTGAAGAGTTATATGAATTCTGGCTGTAACAAAAGGAGATAAGTTGCACTACTTGGCTACTTCAAGATATGGATGGATTTTCTATTTGTATACATCTGGATTTTTTTATATATATAAATTGCAGCCTCATTATCCTTATACAATGAAAATCAGTTTTATTTTTAATGTGTAATTAAACACTGAATCTACAATGGAAGTGACATATTTATTATCTTTTAATGACCTCTGTTATATGGAACAAACAAACAAATAAAAAGCAAACCGCTGTAATCATTGAGACAAACATCTCCCTTGTGATGCTTCTCTGAAGCGATCATTTAAACTCGCCTTCTCTTTTTTGTTTCCCATGGTTTAAAGTTACCAGCTGCCAGTGGCATAGAAACCATGTGAAATATTAATATGTGGAGTATGGGGTGTCAGCGTGGGACGGCTGGGCTGTTTGGTCACTCGTTGTTTCTGCATGGGTCCGTCACAGGCCACCTTTTAGTCAACCACAGTCCTCCTCTTACCACAAAAAAACCTGAATAGACACAAGCATGTGTTATTCCTTTGAACGGTTTGTCTAGCAGTGCTCTCGTACTGTGTGTGTAGAGAGAAATGTACTTCACCTGTACTGAAAATTGAGGCGACTGTTAGAGCAAGGGACATGTAGTACAGCTCCGGTGTGGTTTTGGCCTGTGAATACACAAACATAAACAATCTAGTTTATGAGTTTTGGGTCTGAGTCAGTAGTAATATGACAGCCATTTTCTTACACATGCTGCTGCTGTCAGAGTCAGGATGGCAGTACATAGTCCTTGTCCAAATGAAAGCAGCCCAAACACATGATACAACGCCCACAAGCTCTGAGGAACCGGGTCTATCACAGTGAATATCACTGAGAAACCTGTTAAAAGATTTCAACAAGTAATAGCCATATTAATACTTTTCCCCTTGTGAGAGGAAGTTTAGTTGTTTTTGTCTGTGTGATCTTGATATTAAGTTAAATGTATACATGTGCGTTTGCTAAATTGTCTGTTTTATACCTGAAGCTATGAAGGATAAGGCAATGGAGGCTGACAGATTGTTCAGAAGAGGCTGCCTGCAGTATCTTGAGGATTTTGGCCTTGAAACAAAACAAACACCATTGTTAATGTGATGTTCCTTCTTGTCCAAATGACCCATGATCTCTGTGGCTTGATGCCATAGTCACCTCTATCCTAGTTACCTTGCCATGACATAGAACTGAGGAACCAGAACAATGGCCATGAACACTGCATTCACAGTTTGACTGCAGATACAACATCAATAAAACACCATGAGATGTGGTTATTTGAATGAATATAAAGATATTTTTGCATCAATTTAAAATATGATATCTGTAACTTACAATTTTAACCTCTGATTCCGTGGTATCCATCTGCTGCTATGATACGCCATGAGGATTAGCGTGTAGAGAAACATGGATGTTACACCTCCAGGCAGACTCATACTACTAGTCCTGATGCTGATCAGCATGCAGCCAACAGCTCCACATGAGAGCAGGAGGGGGGGGGATTGTATTTCACAACTGCACAGACACAGCGGCTTCTGCTGCATTTTCTGTTCTCTAAAAGCCAAAGTTATGTGCAAACAAATTTTGCTCAAAGACCAGAACAGTATTAAAGATGCAATATGATCACATCATTACGAATAACCTCCTGTATAGAGGCTTCCCCATAGACCTACAGTGTGTGTGAAAGGTTCAGTGTTCCTCCTCTGTATGTGGCCAAAATAGCTGCACCACCCCTGTCCCATATTGACACACGTGCATCATCCCAGCCAAGAGCTTAAATTCTGTTCACTCCCGTTGCTTATGCCTGTTGAATCTTCTAGAGAGTCAAATCAACATCCAAGATGCCTGTTGACTTCAGCGGAACATGGGACATTGTCAGCAATGTCAACTTTGAAGGATTCATGGTCGCTCTTGGTAAGTGTCATTGGTTCTTTTAATGGTTCCTTACTGTATGAGTACATGATGAAATTGTTTTCTTAAAATATTTATAAGGTAACTTACATGATGTAAGTCATGTACAGTATAGTTTATCTCGTGAATAAATCTTTTGGCATAATTTATGTAAAATAGATGGAAAACCTTCCTTTAGAAGTGATGGAAGCTTTGTTTTTTTTGTCAATGACATGGAGAGTGCCAAAAGAAAAGTAAAAAGCAGGCTAATGTTAACATGAATCTACAAATGTGGAACCTTGTTTTAACATATTTGTCTCATTTTGACATGCAGGCATTGATTTTGCAACACGCAAGATTGCTTCAGTGTTGAAGCCCCAGAAAGTGATTGAGCAAAATGGAAACTGTTTCACAATTAAGACATTCACTACTTTCAAAAATTATGAGCTTTCATTCAAAATTGGAGAAGAGTTCAAAGAGGTGACTAAAGGACTGGACAACCGGACATGCCAGGTAAAAAAAAAAAAAAACTTGAGTAATATCAGAGTCACAGATTTAACTGTTCTGTTGCAATACAGTTACAGTATGAACAACCACACCTAAATGTAATTTTCTGTTCTCCATCAGTCTGTGGTCAACTGGGAAAGTGATAAACTGGTGTGTGTTCAGAAGGGATTAAAGAAGAATCGAGGGTGGATTCACTGGATTCAGGACAATGAACTTCATCTGGTATGACTCTAGAGTTTATATTTTTGTGGCTCCTCATAATCCAATCAGTCTGTAAACTAGTCTCTTGATTTTCTATGTGATTCTAGTATTTTGTGGGTTAATGTAATGTTTTTTAATTATACTGTATCTCTTAGAATTATCGTGTATACAAAGTCAACTTCATATGTTTTCTCTTTTCAGGAACTTACCTGTGAAGACCAAGTCTGCAAGCAAATTTTTAAAAGGACTCTGTGATTTATTGTCCTTTTGAGTGTTCATGTTAGTTGAAATAATCTCAGATGTCAAAGAAATTCATTTACAGTATTTACATAAAATGAGCTGGATAGTAATGGAAGTATTAGAATTTTTTTACCTAAATAAAAGTACCAATAAAAGAGTGTAAAAATGACTATTACAAGTAAAAGTCTTGCATTCATAGATGCCCTAAAGGGGGGAAAGCAGGGACAATTCCAAGGCCCAGGACTAACAGTGGCCCAAAAATCTATAAACTATAGGCATTATGTCCATTCATCTTAGATGGCTATAATAATTGTTAAATTCTGTTTTCACAGTAAGTGTTTTAATTTGCCTTAGTAATAAAATTAGAAGCCAAAGGTACTTTTCTGTACAGTTATAACCTGGGCTATATTGGACTGGTCCACACACACACACACACACACACACACACACACACACATAACTCTGTTCCTTCCAGAGAGAGCAGGTAGTTAACAGCAGGGCTGGATTATGATCATGGGAGGCCCTTGGGCACTTCACATTTGGAGCACAAATAAACTATCAGTGCACATGGAATAGTCATCCATGTGCACAGATCTTTTTTTTTTCTCCATGACACCTCCCAGCCTCTGTACAAAATCTAGGCAAATAACCTGGTACCAATACCTTTTATAGCATGATATTGCCAAAACTGTGTCTGAAATTATGCACTGTTCATTATATAGTGCACTACAGTAGATATTTGCTATTCTGTAATGACATCCAAATCCTGTGTGTGTGTGTGAATCAATCTACTGATTTTTACCCAGGGACCCAAGGACCACTGTTGTGGGGTGGCTACAGCGGATGGACACTATTTTTATCCTGGAAGTTACCTTGGCTTCTCTAAATTGTATATATTTGTGTGAATTTGATTACTCACAAACAATAAGTAATACATGGAAATGAATTTTAATAAAAATATTGCTACAGTGAAATTAAATTGTTGTCATTGTTTGTCATGTCCCAGAGCTTCAGACCACCAGGGGCCCCCAGATGTGCCCTGAGGCTATCTGAAGCCCTTTCCATTCTAAAGCCCTCAGAAAGCGTCAGTAGTCATCCAGTCTACTTTTGGAGGGTTTCTTAGGGACTGGGATGATGGCGGAGTGTTTGAAGCAGGAGGGGACTTGACTGAAAATGTTGTAGTTTCTCCTCCGAACCACAAGATGGCGCTACAACACGTTTACTTTATTAAACTCGAGAGTCGTTGGTTTGTTGGTAAATTTGTGCCGCGAGTTTTCTATTTTGGAATATAGAGAAAACAACCTGAAGTAGATGCGTTTTGTTCTTCTGTTATACCTTGATTTTGTGAGAATTTTCCCACAGTTTTTGTTTAATAGCTGCCGACGTGGTGAAATCGAGTGTTCTTCAAGTTCGTCCACAAGAAAATGTCAGTTAATAAAGCGGAAACCCAACAGGTAAGGTTAAGTTTATCACAGTCGGCTATTATCAACGCCAGCTAATCATGCTAACTAGCTGCATGTCAGGCAGCTACGCTTAAACGTTTTCTAGGCCAGTAAATAGTTTAGAAACCAGGGTTTATTTGCGACGTTTTAAAAGCTTACATAGAAGTTCCTACAAATAAGCGGCTTAGTCTTGCATTTTATTTACGGAGGTCTTAAACATACTGTATATTCTTGCTGTAGACAGTAGCAGTAGTTAACAGTAAAAAATTTCTGGCAGTGGAGAGAGCTGCTAGGAAACCTCACTGACTCATAATGGACAGTTGTCGTTTTATATATGTCTCCTTGTGCTTTAATAATTTTTCTGCCAATTATGTGAGTGCAGACATGAATGGATTATGAGACAATGGGCATAGACAAGTAAAGGCCCCCATCCGTGCTATATAGGACCCCCAGACCTTTTCTGCATCACCCTGGGATAATTCAGACTGAATTTGTAGGTGTTTATCTTAACTTTGACTTTCAAACAAGAAACAATGCCTGGTAGGCCTGTTCATGAAGCCATACATGATCTCAGGTCACAATTGAGTGTTGTGTGCATGTCAGTAAATTCATGTGTATTTTTGTCATTCTTTGACCCTGTGTGACCATAACAAAGGTATTAAATGGCATTCCCTACTGTATTAAATAAAAATGTCTTAAAGAATATTGATTATCATCCCTGTGTTGAAGTCTGTGGCACCATCTTGATTTTTATTTAATCTTTTATTTCTTACAGCGGTTAAAGGCAGCAGTACACTATACCGTTGGTCGACTGTGTCAGAAGTTGGGAGAGGACCACCAGAAAGAGTTCAGTCGACAAGTCATAGCAGCAATAACCGAGACAACATTTAGACAATGTGGTGAGTGTCAACAAAGATACTAGTCCAGTCCAACCTACACCTTCAGAGAGACAGTGGACCAAAAAATATAGATATTTAAACTCATAGACATTGTGTTATCAGGTGTAGGGCCTCAGGCTATGACAGACATTTAGTATGCTGCTTGGACAGAGATCATACATTTCTTTTTAGATTTCCTCTGTAATGGTGGGCATACACTTAAAGATTGCACCCAGTGTGTGGATTACATGCATTTTTTTGCACACAAAAAGACATACTTTTTCTACTATTACATGGATATATGTTGTCTGTTTTTGTGTTTTAATATGGTTTAATCCTGACAAACTCAGCCGTAGATGGAGATAAAGTGGGTGATGATGCATGTGGGTTTAACAGCCTGTGCACTCCCACGGTCCAGAGTCAGTTTCTGGATCACTTTATTAGAACAGCATAAACACTGTAAATACAATATGTTATTTAATTATTTTAAAAACAATTAGTCCTTTATAAAATTACATATCATGTAGATAAATAGACAATAATTCGGCACATTTTTGAGACTCCTTGAAATTTCATTTAGAGATATTCAGGTGGTCTAAGCTGTGAACCCCCCACCCCCAAGACCCTCTGTATTTCGCACACTAATTGTGCCGATTATGAATAGTATTTGGGCGTGATAACTGATCAGACCAAATTGGACTTAGTCTCATCCTGGTTCAGTCATTATTGAGCAGCAGATAAAATTGTGTAGCATGTCCTTAAGTCTTAAGAAGCAATCACTGCCAGTTGTGCAGTGTAGATGAACTGTGGCAGGAGAATGAGAGCCTCATAGCATTCATTCAGAAATGTATCAACAGTGACAGATACATGTCAGGTCCCTTTGTAGCTGTACGGCCCGCATTGTCCATGCCTCTCCATACAGGATCTCATCCAAACTCTGCGCCTTGTTCTCTTTTGTCATTTTCAGTGTACGTTGAGGTGTAAAATGCAGATAGATATAAACAGTACAAGGGTGTATCCACATTTGTTTTGGTGCAAGGACAGGTGGTAATTGGTGGGATCTCACATGTCTACTGCCAGAACCTCCAGTTGTTATGGACAGATGTTAGGTGTGTAGTCCACAGAGTTTACTCAGTTGTTAGGTGTGTGCTCCTTCCCAACTGTCTAGGACTAAAAGTTTGCGCAAGTTGGTTGGAACAGTTGTTGTGTGGTCCATCCAGTCTTAGGTTTCAGCCAGTGGTTAAGTGTGTGCCCACCTTAAAACAAACTGTTATCTGTCCAACAGAGTGTAAGGAATTTTACATTTCTATTATCAGATATTTCTAAAGCATAACAAGGTACCACATTCCGATAAAGCACCATTTATAAATAAGCTGTAATTAATGGTTCTACTTTTTAATAACTCATTTGCTCTATACAGGGTGGGTGAAATGTAACTAGGCATTAAAATTCTAAATAGATAAACAGGATTTCCTGTTTATCTATTTAGACACTGTTTCCATCATGACTCCAGTGATACTACAAGTTCTATAGCCAATTTTAATGCCTAGTTACTTTTCATCCCCCTGTAGTTCAGCTATAAGCTATTAATGAGTTTTGTGTTGTGAAGGATTTGATGGATTATTGTAGAAATCTTAATGATTTATTAACATTTATGGATGACAATTCTGGTTTATTACAAATTAAGAAACCCAAATGTAATCATAATATGTAAATAATTTCAGTTATTTAACCATTAATAAAGTAATGAATTACCATTTAAATAGCCATTATAATGGTGTCTTGTCAGAATGTGGTAACATAACAGTATCATTACAACCAACAAGTACTTGCATCAGTTGATTTACTATTTTATTGGATGTGTATATTTTCTGCAGTCCAATAATACCTCTGAAATATGTGACTTCCCATAATGCTTACAACACACACACAGTACCATGCAAAAGTCCTGGGCACTAAAAATTAAGTGAGGATGCTTTCAAGTGAACAGAAAACAGTATTTGTTTTGACCACTCTTTGCCTTTAGAACAGCACCAGTCCTCCTGGCTACACTTGTGCAGTTTTTCAGTGCAGCACCTTGGAGAACTTTCCACAGTTCTGTTGATTTGGTCTGTCTCAGTTGTATCCATCTCATGTAACTCCAGACTGACTTCATGATTCTGAGATCAGGGTTCTGTGGGGTGCATACCGCTCTTGTCGCTGAAGATAGTTCTTTATGTCTACCTGTTTGGGGTTGTTGTCTTGCTGCAGCATGAATTTCAGAACAATCAGGTGCCTCCTTGATAGCAATGAGTGCTAGATAACAATCTGAACATCTAACTTGCCCAGAAGGTTTGCACAGTACTGAATGTAATCTCTTGCAAAGCTGTGTTTACAGTGTCATTTTGGAGGCAATGGCCTGTGTTTAGTTGGGCATGTATTATATTTTTTTTTTATATATTCCATTACAAATCATGTATGGTACTTTATACAGTATAGGATATGTTACAGAAATGAATCAGATAACCTGCAGTATGCTTCAGTATATTTTATTAATGTTTTAGTGGAGTAATTGCAAAAAGAACAAATTAAAACTAAGTTGTTCCAGTAATCTAATACAAAAGCATATCTATACACCATATGCACATGTATAGAACAGCTGTGTCACAAGCCTGTGAAGACTGATTTTCTTTGTATGCCAAATCCACCCCTGGCAGTCTTCTCCAGATCTGTTCAAGCATCCAGCTTTCATTGCATTTAACATATAACACACTTCTCTTAATCTCCTGACCACCCAATTTACTAACAGATTACAGAAACCAGAAATTATTCACACTCGAGAAGCCAAAATCATATAGACATTTTCTTTATTTTTCTGTCAAATCAATTAATCATCCAATAGTTGCTGCTGTGTTAACTACAGAACTGTAATATTCTGAATATTCATATGTAAATAGTCGGACAAAATATTAATATTCAGTATAATGCAGTATTATAATTACCTTTGTTCAATCCAAAGATTACCATCCAACTATTGAATGTATTTTTTTTTTCCAGAGATATTTGCTAAAGACCTGGAGGCCTTTGCAAGGTGAGCATGTTAATTTTTGTAACCACATTAACCCTGAGCCCTCTTTAACTGACGTTTTGTCAAAATACCTGTTGAGGGCTTTATTCCTTTGGCTTAATCCAATGTAGAAAAACTACTATATCATCTCTTTTTGTTAATACATGTGATTTATACTCTGAAATTTGATTTTAAGGCATGCTAAAAGAAGCACAGTGTCTACAGAAGATGTAAAGCTCTTAGCCCGCCGCAGTAACTGGTGAGTTATTTCCACATAAGTGCCAAAGGAATTATGCAGCACTTAGTCAAGTATTCAATCTGCAGTTACTGTTGAAAACCACCAAGTCTGAGTGAAACATGCAGACAGGCCAGTCAGTCTAGACTTTCAATTCCATCCTAAAAGAGAATGTGACGACGTCCTGCATTGTTGAATTTTGGGTAGATGTGCCATTTTGGAAGATCATGCTCATTATCGATCATAGATTTTTATATATATATATATATATATATATACACACACTACATTTACAAGTTAATAAAAATAAATACTATCCCGTAAAGCTACAGTATATACAGTAGCTGATGCACAGACAGGACAGAAATTGATTCATCTGCTGTGTTTGTGTCATCTGCCAACAGCTGCTAGATGGTGTTGGTTCCCAAACTGAGCTGAGATCAGGGCAGAGTCTTTTTCCAGTCTGTCGCTTTTGTAGACAGGATCTCTAGGTCCACTATGAGTTAGCTACAGTCAGCTAAGGTTATCCATTCTGACTCACCATTTAAATGGTTTAAGCTACTTTTTAGTCAAACAAAACAAGAATGTATGCAGGTAAATACAGCGCATTATTTCCCAGAATAGCATCTTCGTCCTAAAATTCAAGACGGCACGACGCACCTTCACATTCCCTATAACGTAGAAGTTACACTGTGCGTGTGTAGAGGTATACACCGATCAGGCATAACATTATACCCACCTGTACATCTGTATGCACTTCAATGCAACACTTCTGCCTTAACATTTGTGTTTATGAAGCTCAAAATGTTTCAGTTTTTGGCAAGATAAATGTATAAATTCAATTATATGTTCATTATTGAGGTCATAGTTAAAGGTGGTGTTGTACTGGACTGCATTATATTCAGAGGTATCTGTATATTTTTGTCTTGTCCGTTGACATACATGAGAGGGTCAGAATATTAGGAACACCTCTGAATTTTATATAGTCCAGTACAACACCACCTTTAACTATGACCTCAATAATGAACATATAATTGAATTTATACATTTGACAATCTCACCAAAAATAAACATTTTGAGCTTCATAAACACAAATGTTAAGGCAGAAGTGTTGCATTGAAGTGCATACAGATTTACAGATCGGTGTATATTCTACAGCAAACTTAATCTTTAACTGGCCTTTTTCTTTCAGTTTGTCCACATACAAAATAAAAGTGAAGAACTGAACCAGGAGCAAAGGGATGTGAAAAAGAAGAGTACTGGGAAGAAGAAGAGCAAAGAAATGGAGGAGAGCAGAGAATAAGGACAAAACACAGGCAGGCCTGCAAGTGTCTCCCTTGTACCCAACATTCAACTTAACAAGAAGGCTAATACATGACAATGATTTAGGGATCGTCAGAAGTGTCACTCATACTTTCATTAAAGAAGGATACACCATGATATTTTGGTGCATTAAATATCTCTATGAACACTTGCCTCAAATTCAAACCAAATAACTTAGAACTGTATCTGTCCTGAGACTCACTAATGCAATGTCACTTTGTGGTGCATTTGGCACCAACATTAAAGTGAGCTATTAAACATTCAGATTTTCTAAAAACATTGCTAAAGTGACATACAAAGACTAAAAACCTCAATGTTGTATTTGAGTGGTTCAAACTGCTTAGTTATCTACCTACCACATTCTTCCTTTAAAGGTGCATTAACCCAATATATTTTCAGCCAACAGAGGGTACAGGTGTGACGCAAAACAAAATAACATTGTTTCCTAGCAACAATGTAAATTACAGACGCCTGGTTGGGACAAACTGTACAAAACGCAGCCACCAGCCGAAAGCTACTTTTAGCTGACTAACGGGTCCTGGCTCTATGGCAGCATGCAGTAGCACAGTGTCAACAAGACAGGGCTAACTAAGCACCAACATTACAAAAAGCTCAAATGTCTCCTAAACTAAAATCGTATCAGTTGAACCAAAAAGTAAAATCATGACCATGCTAGGTCACTACTTTTACTAACAGCAAACAACGAGTTTTAGCTGCTAATGCATTGGCTACTTTTAACACACTCCACCTAAAAACTCCAAACTGATGGTAACTGACTTTTGCTCTCTTTGTCCGACTCTCTCTGTGCAAAATAACACCTCTGCCAAACACAGTTTTGGACTTTTAACTGCTGAGAGCTGCTCCGTGACTGTCTGTTTGAAATGACTACACGCAATTTGAACACCACTTCTTGTAACCTTTGACTGGTGGGACTACCGTCCAGGCCGACTATCAGAACACAGGGTTGAGAAGCAGTAACAGCAGCAGAAGGGCTGTAGGTAGCCGAGTGTTGTGAAGGGGGGTAGTATAGCCAAGAGACACCATGTCCTGTTCTGTTTTCACTGGATTTATCAAACAGTGTGCAAAGTCTTAGTTAAGGCACCTTTAAAGTGTAAGAACATAAGTTTTGCACTCTGGGAAAACTGAAGACCTACGACTGTCAAACTATTCATATAATCTATGGAGAAATCCTCAAAGTTCCATGGTCAGCAATGTGCCATTAGTTCAGTTATTACTCTAATCAAATTACGGGCAAATTATATTGCTCAGAGACATGATGCCACATTGCTGAAGTCATGTTTAGAGTTAAAAGAGCCCTCCTGAAGAACTTCTCTCTAACCTCAAGCGTAGTTATAAATAATCCAAGGGATAATTCAGTCTGACAAGCCATTAAAAGCAGCAAAAAAGACAGGTACTACCCCATATCATGTCTGAGAAGGCCACATACAAAGTGTTGGAACTTCCGTCTTCGTCCTTCAGAACAGACTTCAGTCAGGGTTCAAACGGAGACCTCGACCAGCAGAGCCCAAGGTCCCTAGATATGTGAATCGAATTAGATTTTTTTTTTTTTTTTTTACTTGACAAACTGACTCAAGCAATATCAACTAAGCATCTATTCAAAGGAACTTTATTTGAGAACTCCCTTCATTTGACGTTTTTAAAGCACCTCACAAACAACAAGAGCTACTGGGAACCATTGGACACACCACTCCACTTTCTCACACTATCACTCGCGTCCCCCAGAGCTGTCAGCAGGTGTCATCCACATCAAGTACACACTTAGATTGGTTCAATAACATGAAAGCACACATCATACAGCATTCAAATCGGATATTATAAGCAATACAAATATTCATCACAACATTCCACTACATTTTGATATTTCTGCACTTGAGTGACTTAAGAGTAAGGAAAATCTTTCAAAGATTAAAAAAAAAAAAAAAATCTTGAAGTACTAATTAAAGAATGTCCATGTTAGGGGAGGTGCTCGTAGCATCTGCAGCTTCCACTCACACACTCAAAAAGCAGTCAAATTGGGCTCTTTCACTGCACAACCAGTCCGTTTCACGCGCCTCTCCGTTCGCTCACTCATTGTTTCACCCTTCGTCACAAGCCATCCTCAATCGCACTCATCAGTTCTTAAAATGTCAGTTGCGCAGTTCTTTCCATTTAAAAGTGGATAAAAGTGAAAACACCCACCGTCTCTTAGAACATGCGGAGTGAAGCCGTTCTTTGATGGCATTGCATTTACAGGTGGGAAGAGGGAGAATGATATGGATATCACTCCAAGAATGCTGCCAAAGAGGAGATTCCTCACAGGAAAATGGAAGAGAGGTGAACTGTAGAAGAGATTTCAGTGAAGGCTTTTCCACAGAACTTGACTGCAAATAAAGTTGCACTTAAAACATTTAGGTTTCAACCAGATTCTTCCCAATGCAAGATTGCCTTTCAAGTTGATGACAATGTTGAATAATGGCAAACCACAAACGTTCATGCATTTTCAAAATGGTTATATCACATTACACAATACATGCATTAGAGAATCCAGTTGAAATGAATACAAACAAATGAGACATCAGCAATATAATAGCAAAATAGCGCTTCTGTCAGACATCCTAGTAAACAAGTCACTTCAACACTTTCTAAATTAAATCTTTAGCAGTTTCCCAAATGTACAAAACATATTCCACAAAAGTGTTAGGTTTTCAGATACGCAGTAACACCAGAAATAAATGTTGAAAAGACTCATCTTTCTCACAATACTTACCATACAAACACAACTTACATACCCCACCCAGATGACTTTGACTCCATACTGGACCCAAAACCTGAGCTAAACCCACTACCACTGGTTGTAGAGTTTGACCCTGTTCCCCAGCCAAGACTGGCTGAGCTGGTGCCGTAGTTGCTGTTGCCTGTACTGAAAGACTGACTCTGGTCCCTACTAGAGCTTGTTCCACTTGAGGTGCTGCCTGAGGTGGATGTCTGCTGCTGGCTAGCCAGCATACCCATCATTCCCCAGCTACTCTGCAGAGCAGCCTGAGCAGCAGCCATCATAGCAGGGTTCAGACTGAAAGAACCAAAATTAGCCAGACTACTGTTAGTGCTGCTCCCTAACCCACTACGGCTGCTACCAAATGCTTGAGCTCCAAAACCATTCCCAAACCGTGCTGTACGATCAAACTGCCTATTGCCATGTTTGGGCTCAGCATTTGAGATGTGAACGCTGACGCCTTTGATAATTAGATCCTCTCCACAGAGTGACTGAGCAACCTGTAGAGAGAAAGACATGAGCCAGGTCAGCTGGGCATGTGTACTGGTAGAATAAGATGCCACTTTCTATATATTCAACACTATACCTGATCATCTGCAAATGTGACAAAGGCAAAAGCACGGAATGGCTTGGGGATGAAGACATCTGTGACTTCTCCATACTGCATAAAGAACTGCCGCAGGTCATCTGTTGTCATGTCTTCTGTGCAGCGGCCCACAAACACTTTGCGGCTTCTAAGTGGCTCATCTGGACTTTGCTGTAAACAAAAGGGAGAAAAAAACTAAGAAATACAAAGGTTACACACTGTTGACACAGGTTTTGTTCTTATAATGTGTGGATATTTGTATGGACATTACCATATTCACCTTCGAGTTAGGGAGCTTGCAGTCACACCATCTTCCGTCAATCATGTGGCGCTGTGATATCACCTTTTCTTGAGCCTCATACTCTGTAAATCTCACAAAGCCAAAGCCTTTAGAGTTTCCAGTCTTGGCATCTCGTTTCACCTGAGACAAGCAAAGAAGAAACATTCAGAAATAAAGATCAACTGTCAATGCATACATCCTGAAGCACAACTAAAATTTAGGAGCATGACTATATTGGCATAGACTGTCAGAAAATCAACTGGCATTAATGTCACTGATGATTTAGACCATATTAACATCAATAATCAAATGTAAGAGTGATGGTAACATATTTCTGAGCAATTAAAAATCAATAAAGACAGGTGCACATAATACACGTTTTAAATTGCAACCCATTTAAAATGACAATATATAATGTTGGGCTGCCATATGGATTTGTTGGAATAATGAGACAGGCAGCACACTTGTATTTCTATTGAATCAATGCTCTTACAGGTGATTTTTTTTTCTTCTGAGACATGGTTACAGCCCAGGTTACCAACAAGTTTAAGCTTCTCTGGTCAGTTAACCACAGGGCATATTATATTTGATGCGTGACAACTTGCACTAGATCTTAGTAAAGAATATAAGGATATATATCTTAGGATTACAGTGATTTATAACTTCTCATTGAAATATTTTCCCAGTACATTATTTTTAGTTTCCTAGTCCTGTTTACTGATAGTTTCTGTGACATGCATTCATCCAAACTGCTGTGTTACACTTTAACGGAGATGCAAACAAATCAGATACATATGCAAAACCAGTCATATCATTAGGATCCTGTTTTCTCTTGTAAAAGTAAACCACAATGAAAACACTTCTAATAAAGTACAAATTTCACCTTTATGTGTCCTGTCCTGTCCTAGTGGATTTTGTTGTCTTTTTCTACTCGTACTGGGCAGTGATTTGCAAAATAGTGTTGTTGGACCTTATACAGTACATCCATGCATTAGACAGTGTCACAGTTGAAGTGGGTATCCCACACAAAACAACCACAGAGTAAATTGCTGCTTCTCCCCAAAATGAGGAGAAGATGACAAACTACTGCGCTGGGGCTATCTTCTATTCTAAGGCATACTGATAATCAATCAGTCAATAAGCAAACAAACAAAAGGCTTGGTGAGAAGAGTCTCAGTCAACTGATGGACCCTTCGACTAATGATTTGACTAGCCGAATCTGAGGGGCAGTTCTATTATTTTTGTAATGTTATACCTGAACCATGATGACTTCTCCAAATGTGCTAAAGTAGTCTTTCAGGTCCTGCTCAGTTGTTTTCCAAGGCAGACCAAGAACGATCAGGTCAGATGTCTTCATATCCCCTCTCTTCATTTTCACAGCAGAGGATGCATCAATTTCATCCATTTTCCTTTTGTTGTCTGAAATGAGAACAACATAAAGACACTGATTGTATTTTAACCTGACAAACATGTGCCTTTCCTTACTATTACTACACCGACTTTGTAAATAAGTGTCAACACTAGACCTAAAAGCAAAAATCAGTTCACATTCAATAAGCAAAAGATGCTATACACAAATTCCACTGTTTCCATTGTGCATCAAATAAATCACTTCTGCAGTATGTTTGAAGTGAACACTTGTTGCATTTTGTAAAATTGAGAATTTTATTTGAATTTTTTTTTAGCTCACTGTGGCGTTGATGCACATGGAAAAATGGGCGTTGCGAAAGCGTGCTCTATTATGCGCATGCTTGTCACGCATCTCCATTTAAATCTGAGCACTTCAAAGATACAACAAGTGAACAGGAGGCATGATGAACTTCCAGTCCAACCTAAACTTTGACTTTTGAGAAAAGCAGCATTTACATTGCCACACATACAAAAACATATTTCCTAGATTGCAGTGGGAGTTTTCTTTAAAACGTAACATTCACACTTGTGTATCATTGTTAATCCACCGCTGTCAACATAAAAGAACAGAACACTGAAGCTTATGTTTTGCACCAATGTCATCAGATTGCAGGATGTATCAATCCAGACTGATAAGCTTGTTACACCCCTATTTGAAACTGTGATAAAAAGGTGTTGATTCAACTTTTAGATGCTGTAGTTGCTGATTTACTGTATAACATTATACTGTGAAGTGTTTTTCCAGTGTTCTGACAACTCATTTATCTCACTGATTGTAGTAGACTAAATATTATAATCACCTCAATATAATTCAAAACAATCCTCAACTACAGCCTCTAAAATAGCGATAAAGTTAAATAAGCACATCTCCAGACACTTCTTCAGCAAAACATTATGGCTACAGGGTCTCTGCATGGTTCGCCAAGTTAAAATTAACTTTAAGACAGTTTCAAATAACAAAATACAAATGAACCCAAGACATAATGACATAACGTGTTTACCGCGGTGCTTTGTGGGTGAAAGGCAGGGGCCAAAATAACGGCCGCTGACGATAAGTCCGTGCGTTAAGTCATGTTGACATTACTGCTTGTAGCGATAGCACGTTGTCCCCACCTTTCACCCACAATGCAACACAGTAAACACAGCATTACATTACTATGTTTTGGGTCCATTGATACCCGTTTTACTGTCATACTGGCAAAAGTCAGAAATATATCAGCACTGGACTTATTTATGTGCATGAACTTACAGATATTTATAGCACAATGAGCATCATTACCTCCTGGCAATATCTAACAAACTTGTACTAATGTCAACAAAACATTGACGATAACCTTGACCTGGATAAGCTGCATAAAAAAAGACTGATTCACTCAATACAAAATAAACAATTAGGGCAAGAGATCTGGAACAATACTAATGGGGGATTTCCAAAAAATAGCTAAAAATCACACAAAATACTGTATAATATTCTACAACCTTGTAAATAAAATGCAAGACTTTAATACATTCTCCATTCCTTTTTGAGGAAACTGAAATCAGGGCTTTACGATATTAAGACCTGCAGACACCCGGATGATTTGGTTTGCTGCTGCATTAGCTTTGGCAAACTGTGTTTAATAATGAATTGGCAATAGTTCATAGCTATATATAAGACGTTGATCTTTTGTGGGCATGGACACACTACACGTCATTCTCTATTTTCAGTGTACTGAATCTAAGGTTACATCGTGAATTATAAATAACATCTGGCTACCTGATGTTGATGAAGTATGTACAAAGTATACATATCTACCTTTTGGATAGTTCACCACATATACGACATTCCCCCATCCGTTTTCTGGAGCGTGTAGGACTCCTTCCACAAGACGCACTCCCCGCATGCACTGAGACACGGGGCTTCTGAAGCGCAGGCCGCACGCCCCTGGAAACTGAGCTGCTACGGTTGAAAGCAGAACAGTGCCGTCATCCTCAGATGGGATCTCCATTGGTTCTTCGTTTTCCTCCTCTGCGACTCGAATGTACACTTCGGCCATTTTCCCGAAAATGAAAACTCCTTACTTGATTCAAAATAGTGCTAACGCTGGCAATTCGCTCGCTAGGTGTCCACAGTTGTGGCTAACCTTAGCCGATGTCGCTAACACGACTGAATGAGTCGGGCTAATTGGTTAGTTGTATTTGAGGCAAATACGTGTCAAGTCAAAACACTAAAAAAAATGACGATACAATGGGCTTAATTTTAAATTGTTTCATAGATAATATTTCCCTTAAGTTGAACTAACAGGCGTGCATCGACCTTACTGTTCCTTTGTTCGTTGGGACGGGGATCTGTGTCGTCAACGCCGGACCTCGGCCGTTCAAATGTGATTCTTAAAGAAAACTGCGTACGGCCCCCTGTTAACTAATCAGACAGAGCGAGTTCCTCAGATTGACTGGTCACACTGAGTATTTTAAACAACTTAAAAAAGTGCATTTGTTGCACCAAATGCGCCGTATGAAATAAAGAATGTTATTTAACACGAGGCAAACAAACATGTACGGCCTACCAAAATGGCAATATACGAGCGAAGAAGGAACTACGTCATTAGGTTGGACGGTTTCATTTTATGGCGCTTAATGTGTCTTAAATGTGAGCAGTAACTGAAACAATCGTCATTATAAAGTTGTAAAGCCAATATTGTACTTATTGCGTCTGTTTGTTTTGAATAAAATGCACCAGAACCCAAAAAGTATCATTTTGATTATACATCATATTTGACTCCCCCCCCCGAGATAGATCCGATTTAGTACATCCACGACGGAAACTTCCGTTGTTTGCTACATTGGTGGGTTGGCATAGATGGGAAGATGGCGGTTTGCATGCGATATACAAACGTAGAAACGAATATCTGCATAGTTGAACAGTACAGTCCATAACATTACTTAATACAAGTTATGAACTTATGGACAGCGTTCTCGTTTTTGTCATTATGAAAACGCATTTCGGTCACAACAGCATCGAAACTGTGATCATTATTATTATTAATAAAATAAAAAATAAAGTGAAACAATGTAAACTCTGCGTTTTTGGACCAGGTCCTTGGGTTAGTTCAAGTTGAAACTTCACAACTTTATGTGTAATACCAATCGGCGTGAGATGAAATGTCACATTTGACTCAAAAGAAACAATTACCAATTGTGTCATACTGTTGTCTCTGACGTGTTTTTATCCGTTTCTGGACAACATTGAAGGACTATGGCACGACGGACTTTAAATACACCGACAGTATTTGTTCGAATGATCATTTCTTTGGTCTTCTCATGAAATTTATTAACAAAAAAAAAAAAAAAAAAAAAAATATCAGAGTTTTAGCCACTGTTAAAAGTAATCTTGTTCCAATGCCATCCAGGATAAATAGGTCATCTGATATGAAAATATCACTGCAAAATAAACGGAAAATTACTTATATTATAGCAAAAACACTTCATTTGGTTTTTTAAAACTGATATTTTGCAAGAATTGTGCAATTAGACCATTTTGCTGCTTTGTGACTATAAAACACTTTGTTGTATATAGCAGTAAAAAATATTAAAGCTGTTGCAAGGTAATGCTAACAAGCAAACTATAATTAATTTACCCAAAACATTTTAATTACTGCTGTCCTGTCATAAATGATAATTTTCTTTTGGGTAGACCATAAAATTACATGAGCATTTATAAACTGCATAATTACAATCAACTGGTTAGATTTTAAATGCGGTCTTGTGTTGCTTCAGTCACTTTAACCTCTGCCCTCCCTGGATAATCATGAATAGATATCTCTATACAACTGGTCACAGAGAAATGTTAAATCACGTCAGCATAGTTCGTCATATATAGGCTACATGAAACACCAAAAATAATTAAATATCCTGTGCAGCTTTTGGATTCAACTGAACAGCAAAGTAGATCTCAAACAGCTTTTTATTACATATTTTTCAATCAATAACAGTACAATTTAGTACAGTATCTATCTTGCATCCAGCTCACTGTGGAACACCAACAGACTGAAATGAAATACAAAAAGTGAAAAGGTACATAAGGGTGCAGAGCTCTATAATATTATGGAAAGAGAAAAGGGAATCCATCTCAACTGAACTGCATTTTCACTTGTGGCCACATAAATACATCACATTTATTGTACATCATTGCAGAAACAAAAGTGAAAATATGTCAACAAAAGTGCTTCTGTATACAGTGAAATGTCATTCAGATGCTCCAATTTTCAATTTAAGACCAAGAAAAAAAAATGTACAAAAGTTTCAATACAGACAGTATGTAAGGATGTTTTTGTTCCACTGAGTGTGAAGATTTGAAGGAGAGAAAAGGACTTGTCAAGGATAGAATTCTTGTTAGTTTAATTACAAAAATTGGCATCAATAAAACCGGTAAGCATAAATTACACCAAGTATGAAGTCAATATTCGGTCTTTCTCCGTTCTTGCTCACTCTGGTGCATAGCGTTACCAGTAACAGTATGATGTATGCAAAGTTTGAGCCAAAATAAGACTGGCGTCCGTCCAATCACTAGGTTCCTCTCCTTTTCAGAAACCAAAGAAAATGTAGGAATTTTGCACCACTGAAAGCAAGTCTACAGCATGCACATCTAAATTTCATGGCAGACAAAATTAAACGCCTTAACTTAAAACAGACCATTATTTTCAGACACTGATTTGTACATTTCATTCACAGAGTTGCATCTGCAGTCCCAAGCAAAGCAAGTGTCTATTTATTCAGGTGAGGTGTTTCACTCAAATTGGATACTAAACATAACCTCCCCCCCCAATCCATATCTTAAAATCCTGCCACACCCCAATTATCTCAGCCCCCACCCTTTCCCACCCAAAGTCACAGGCATTTACAAGTATTAAGGGGGTTAACTGGATAAGTTACTCATAATAACTCCTTTTGTACTGGAATGAGCATTCATAACTTATAGCATGTGCTTGGTTAGTTAACATAGTATTAGTTGAGGCAAAGCTTCTTCATGTGCAAAAGGCTGTGATGAAACAAAAACAGCTAGTATATAAATACATTATGGACATTTTGAAAGCTGCTCGTGTAATATGATCCAAGCTTTTACTTCTGCGTTTTCTCTCATCTGTCTTATACGATTAACTAGATTAGAAAGACCAGATGTAATTCAAACATATCTAAAAACCACAAAAGAAATATGACAAAAAGAAAGCCATCAAGAATAACAAACCATCAGAATAAATTCTAAATTAAAAAAAAAAAAAAAAAAAAAAAAAAAAGTTAAATAATTTGTACAATTACACTCCAACATTTGCTTTCAAGACGCACACATTTGCATGGGATGATAGTGTTGTTTTCTCTTTCAAGGTAACATAAAATGGTCCAAGAAGGAATGCACAAGTTTCTGATTAGATACCACAGGAGATCCTTTCTTAACTAGGTGATAAACAATTGTGCTCTTCTTTGTGTAGGAAAGGCATTGGTTTCCCTTCGTTTTTGTGGTGTCCAAGTCAGTTTCAACAGTGTTGAAGAAGATGCTGTGAACATTCTGAAGATGTAATGGTCTTCCAGTCAACTTTGGAGTTAAAATAACATCTGAAAAACCAAAGAGAGATAAAAATTAGAATTTAACTAATCTTGCCACATCTACAATTTAGCTTTGTGGCCTTCTGGGGGACTGCCAAAGGTGATGTATTATTTTTGTAAGGATTCAGTTTAATATAAAATGTTTAAATATGGTAAAAACTTATGTCGTTAAAACACATTTTTACAGTGGGATATTTCTGCATTTTTTGGCTGCAGCGTCATTACAGTAACAAAATGCAACTCCCTTTTCAAAAGAACCATTATCCAAGTTAAGTTTGATATGACTAAGTTGTTGAAAATGTTCGAGGTGCCCTAGGTGACCACTCTAATACAATTTGGTGATGTGTACTGTAAATGTAGGGACAAAAATGTTTTGTTGATCACACAAGAAAATACCAAAATCCATTCACACTAACAGGTATCTCCAATAGAGTACCATAAAGATGATGTATTTTTGTAGGCCAACCTGGAAGTTGGCATCGCCCTGGTTCCCTTGACAAAAAGCCAATGCGATTTTTGCATAGGCCTTTGAATTATTGTGGACAATAACCTCTGTGAAACATTTTATGACACGTACACGTTTTGTTCAGCAAGATAATCTTCACAAGTGAGTGCCACTTGATTTCTGAAGCCCAAATACAATTGTCAAAAGTAAAAAGCTATTGTTAAAAGCTGTAAACAAAGCACACCACGGTCCCATTGACTGAAATGTCACCACCATGATTTCTAACTTGTAATCAGATTTAAAGCACCTTCCTCTTCTACAAAGTCCCTTCCTCTTAGCAAGACCTATTGTTCATAGAGGTGTCAGAATAATTTGCAAGTGCGCAAGTTTCAAAATAACAATCAATTTTCAATTCAATCCCCTTTATTTGGCCAAGTATGTTACACACACAAGGAATTTGTTTCCGGTACAGAACCGAGGCAGCCATCTGTGGCACCAACTCACACCGATGGCTCTAACCATCGGTGGCAACTTGGGGGTTCAGTGTCTTGCCCAAGGACACTTCGACACGTGGACTGCAGGCACCGTGATTTGAACCGCCAACCCTCCGGTTGGGAGACGATCGCTCTACCCACTGAATCACAGTTGCCCCCAGCAAGGCTCTAAAGGCGGACTAACGGGCAGATGAGGTCTGTGATGTGATGACATAAAATCCCAGCCACTGCTCTTTTTAAAGACACGTAAAAGTATTAAAAATCCTGAGTGGGGTATTTACTGATGTATTTTTAGGATTATAGTTAAAAACCCAATCAAAAAACCCCACTGACTTTAGGGTGAGGGAACCAGAAGTGCAAACATACTAGCTCAGTTCAGGGTTTTAGGACCCATAATAGTAAGGCTGTCTAAATGCAGACCAGCAAAACACTATGTATCAGGTGTTTTATTAAACCCACAACTCTGTAATCATATAAGGGGACAAAGTAGCATAATCAGTACCTCACCTTCTACTTCAGTCAAGCAAAAGACATAGCAGATTTTGCAACTATAGGTTTTACCAGGAATCGTTTCAGGTACAAACGTAGAAAAACATGTAACAAAAACAACCTTCAGGCTTCAATTCCAAATCTTCAGAAAACTGTCCCAGGATCCTGTTGCAACTGCCATGCCATCATCAGTAACTCCCAGGCAGCTAACACGGTTGTCATGTCCAGCCAGCACACCTACAAAAGTATCACAACAGGGAGAAAAACAAGCCAATCATCTTTTTCACAAGTCTAATATCAAAATAAGAGTAATGTTGTAATATGAAGGAAATGGAGCTGTTATTTGAAATCATGCTTCGATTACTAACCAGCACGGTCAGCTTTTAGTGTGTCCCACACGTTACAGTTGAAGTCATCATAGCCCGCCAGAAGAAGACGGCCACTCTTTGAGAATGCAACAGAGGTGATGCCACATATGATATTGTCATGAGAGTAGATCATTAATTCCTGATCAGCACGCAGATCGAACAGCCTGCAGGTAGCATCATCAGAGCCCGTGGCAAAGGCATTGCCATTAGGGAAGAACTAAAAATTACAAAAGGTAAATCATTAATGCACAATTGAGGAACACAAACACAAAGTGCGTTTACAATTTGTTCGGCAGTTAATTAGGTAGACCTAACGCCTGCCTATTTAGATTTGTGTTATTGCTCATCTAATTTATATTTCACTTGTATTATGTGGCATTCATGTGGACGGCAAAGTAAGAATTTCATTGTACAGGGAAACATGTTTCCTAAGTGTGCATATGACAAATAAATACTTTGACCTTCTAATACAGCTTCATGAAGGTGATAGTCAGTTTGTAGCAAAAAAATACCAGTTAATTTACAGTTGAATCAACACCTCTCTAAAATGTTTCTACAAAGACTGAACATTATCACATTCATGGAGGACGTAACTGCAGCGCTGTTGTTTTAGACTGCATTAAGCGTAGACTGATGTACCTATTAAACAACCGAATGTATACGTTTGTTTAAAAAAAATCCTAATGTGTAACTTCAACAAAAAACAGTTTATGTACATTTTGGGAATAACTTACACAAATAGCATTGATGTCAGACTCATGGCCAGTAAATGTCTGTCTGCACATGCCCTCTCGAACATCCCAGAGTTTAGCAGAGGCATCACAAGCACCAGAGACAAATAACCTCGAGTCGGGGGCCAATGACAGGCTCATGACATCACCTGTATGTCCAGCAAATGTGGTTGTCTGCTGGCCAGTCTCAATATCCCAAAGTGCACTATAAAACAAAACACACAATTAAGATAGCCATTTACCATTTCTTCAACTTTCTAGCTTTTGTACAAATATGCTGGTTTAATAATGAATCCAGTAACATAGGTGATGATTCTACTCACCAAGTGGTATCTCCAGAGCTTGTAACAATCTGGTTGTCATCAAGAAAGCGACAACAGGACAGGTATCCTGATATTCAAAGAACATCAGAATATGGAATAGGGAGTTAAAACACTAGTTTTGCCATTTGTTTTAGCCGACTAAAGGTGATAACGTAAAACAGCTTTTTGTAATTTGCTATGAATTTCTTCATGCTTAAATTAAAAGGTTTTTAAATTAATAGTAATAAAGAACAAGAGATTATAAACCTGTATGTCCAGCAAGCTCACGGCTCACACGTACATTCCCCTCACGCGTTTTCAGGTTGTAAATGGAGCAGATGTTGTCTAAGCCACCACAGGCAACATAATTTCCTGAAGGTGCATATGCGCAAGTCATGACCCAGGAAGATCGAAGTGGAATGGCATGAACCTATAACAAAAGGGACCACACACACACAAATACTTGTGATATTAAAATGTAACAATGTTTCTCATCAAGGCAAAAGTTGGAGTGTGACAACACATTCACACCGATCCAGAAAAAACACAATTCCCTGCTGTGTTTTAACATAAGGGGCTGCATTGGTCATGGGGCTGAGGGGTTGCAGAGGGAGTGTTGTAGGCATGTACAATACGGTGACATTGTGATGAGTCGATATGAGTGGCTTCATTCACATTTTTCAGCCTGGGAGTTTCCACTGTGTTTTGGTTAGCCATGCTGTTAATGTAGTCTACTGTATCTTAGCACCAATTTCTACCACCAGCGTATCAGCACTGATCAAAGAGTATCAAACACAGTTTATCATTCAATTCTAACAAAAACCCGTGGCTTGTCATTATGGTGTATTAACTGTGGCCCAGATTTGACAGTGAATAGCAATGAATGCTCATTTTAACAAGGTAAACAAAAGAGTCTCCTTCCGTGATAGTCCACGTCCCAATAGTTTCTCGTACATGACACCGTTGCTGGATGATGTCACAGTACATCATAATTCATACTCAAAAAGGAGAATTGAAGTGACATTCATTACAAGATGAGTAGTTAAAACATTTCAAGATGCACTTGCATTGTTGTGCATTTTGTGACTTTCAGTCAAATAAAAGGCTTTTTCCATTCATGTATTTTGTCATTGAAGATTTCTTAAAAATTGAGTTATAATATTGCCTCATCTCATTCTCGTATATCATCGCATCTCATGAGCTAAGTATCATCACACCCCCCCCCCCTTTTTTTTTTTTTAAAGCAAATGTTTTTGAAAATAAAAGTAATTCATTAATAAATACATATGACTTTTGGGCACCCTCTTTTCTAATGGCCATTCCAATCTGATAATGCATAATATCCAGTGTTATTACCTGTGGGTACTAGCCTGCCAAATTTCAAGGTCTAACTGATTCTAATGCTAGACTTCTTTAGACACGCAGTGCTCTTGTGCACCAAGCCCAAAACCACAGTGATACCCAGGCCAGGTCATCAAGTAAAGTACCAGTCAAGTAACATGAGTGAGTGAGTGAGTGAGTGAGTGAAAGGGAAACAGCACAAAATGTATTGTTTAGGCATTAGGCAACATCCCGTATAGTCATTCCTATATCATTTAAGTTTTGATGGAAACATGATCATTTACAATACCGGTCAAACATTTGGAGACACTTTCCCATTCAGGTCATTGGGTGTATGTCAATAAATAAGCTGTTATTGTTTACTGATGCTCACAGACAGCATGGTGTGGCAGTTTAGTTTAACAAATACTGCAATTAGCCATGTTTTTTGTGAATCCATATACACACTAAGGTACCCTATATAAAATTCTGACCTAATTTTGGCCTGCAAAATTCTCAGTAGGTCTAGAGATACACTGGAAGAGTGATGCTTTAATTAAATCTCTTTAAATCTCTCAGCTGTATTCCAAATGAATACAGCACAGAGTTAGTTTCCCTTCTTCTCATTCTAATATAAACTTATGAGTCCCACAAGAAGATGTGCAGCCCACAAAACATAAAGCAACAGGAACAATGTGAAACGGCTTAAGAAAGACACGGTGTCACTGATGCAAAGCACTAGAAACAGACAAAAATCATAAAAGTGGATATCTAACCTCTCCAGCAAGTGCCTCCGGTTTTAAAAACACAGCACCTATTTTGTTATTTGGATGTAGATGACATTCCTTTATCTGACCTGCTGCTCTCATTACTTCTGTTTTAAATTAGATGAAACCGATTTGCAGATTCAACCCTCACAACATTAGACCCCGTCAAAAAACATAGCTTACCTTATTTGTGGTATAGCTGTCCCAAATAATGAGTTTGCCATCTTGAGAGGCACTGACCAAGAGCCTATACAAATGAGAAGATCAATATAAAAACACCACCACGGCAAGAACTGGAGCTGTAACATAAAATATATTCTTATCTAGAATCATAAGCCAAAATGACTACAGGAAAGATGCCTGTCAAACTTCTGACAACATAATGTTGTGTAGCCTCTTACACCGAGGCCTAGTCTAAGGTTTGCACATTTGCTCAATATTTGACATAATGGAAAAACACAATGCAACAACATAAAAAAATCTCCCTTTACACTACTAAGTTAATAGTTTACCTGGAATCTGTTCCCCAATGCATGGCATAGATTTTAGCCAAATGACCTCGCAGCGTTCGTCTTGTGCGCATCTGGATTCGACCAACGGGGTCAATATTGGCTGTGATCTGAACAAAAACAAAACAAACAAAAATAACTATTAAGTGCTCTGGTTAATTTCAGACCAAGTGCTTCTTAACCAAAGCACAGGTAAATGTTACCTGTGAAAGTGTGGCATCTGCGCATGCTTTCCTGGCATCCTGAAAAAACAAATGTCAAAACTTTAGGGCAGGATTTCCCCATCTCATAATGGTTTTTGATGTTCAGACATACCTTCTACATTGCATTTTAATGATTATTGATGGTATTGTATGTGGAAAAGTGTTTGATTCTCACTCTGATCTGACTTTTGAGCTGCTCTGCCTCTTGGCGTAACTGGTCCAGTTCACTCATTTTATTCTTCCTTTTCAATTACCTTACTCCAGCTACAGGGGCACTTGTTGATCTGAAACAAAAAACAAACAAACAAAAGACATAAAAATAGTAAGAAGAAGAATAAAGAGATGCACTAATCAATGTCACCAATTGTCTTCATTGTAAATTCAAGGCCATCTTTTCAACCATAAGAAAAGTGGGCCTAAACCCATGTTAGACACAACCAGAAGGTACTGACAGAAGGACACTGTTTAGCCACCTCACTGTAACTGTCTTTTCAATCAACTAAACTCTTAACCTGCAATCTATGTAACATATTGGCCACCATTCAACCTTACTTCCTCACCTCACAGCCACTAACAAAGTCCTGATACACAATTTAAATTGTTAAGGCACACTTTTCCTGTGATCTGAAAAGCTGCTGACCTCAATCCCTGTGATAATGATAATTTAAGACAAGTAATCAATAAGTCACTTATATTAAGATAGACCCTAGAGGCATCTAGAAAAATGCATTTTTAAAATGTACACCATGATCCACATAGCATGTTACAAACATATCTTAAGCGGCATCAAAGCAAATTAATACATTATCTCAGGTCATTTCAAAACTGTTGTTACAGATCTAATACTTTAGTCATAATGACCTGGTCCTGTGTAAGGCAAGGACTACATTTACACGCACTGCGATATCAGAATAAAAACCTCATGGGAAATTATTGTATACAGTAACACACCACAGCAACTTCATTTTCTTATTACTTATTCAAAACAAAAAGACCAAACTAAATTTAAAGCAAAAATCAGCACATGACAGTTGTGAACATCTTATGTTGAAAAAAAAACTCAGAGGCTGGATTATTAGTTTGTGAACACACTGCCTATATCTTTTGCTGAAAAATGGACACTATGCTCACATCTTTCTAATTAATTATTTAACAGCATGGAACACAAGCACATCAGGAGACAAATGTGTAATTATCCTCTTAATGTGTGCCTCTGTGTTTAAAATAGTGATTTATCAATGCAGTGTAGTACCTGACTATACCCAGGAAACCGCTTAACAAACAAAACTTGAGTATTCACACAATTTTGACCCAAAACAACATCAGCCAGACTTTGACAGATCAAGCATTCTCAGCTTGAAAAACTCTTAAAATAGTTATTTTTAAACATAATATTTAATTTTAAATGTTCAATTATTTTTGTGAAAAAAATAGTCAAGTTGAATAATTTGTGTTAAACGATATTATGCCTAACGACGTTAACGGTTTTTCAGTCTGAGTTCAACAGCAACACAAACTACAGACTCCAAAATGATCATTTAGCTGAATCAACACCAATTTAGGTAGCACTGTTTTGTTAATAAATCATTATTCAAACATACCCTGAGCTGGCAGTTTAAAAGGTACATCAAGCTAAAACTAATGCAGTCATCATGAAAGTGGTAATGTTCAGTTTCTGTTGAAACTGTTCAAGAGAGAAGTCCTTATTTAGCTTTCAACTGCAGAACCAATTTATCAAATTAAGAGAAGCTAAACCGACAGATTTCCGTCACTACCAAATGGTCATCACCTTGAATGTTATAGTTTGAAAATGTTCTTTGGTTATATATTTAAAATCACAAACACTTCGTCTTCAATCATTTACAATATGTAATTTGTTTTCATTTCACTGTTTTTATACCAAACCCTAAAATTTTAATGGTAAGCCCAAAAGTGGGACAGCATGGAGTCATTTTACCACTCTGACTTTTAAAGGTTATTTTCCATCAGCATCTGTGGATGATGATACAGTTAAGGAGTTCCTCTCCCTCGTCACTTCTCCTTCTCAAGCGCCTGATCAGGTCAGCTGACTGCATGATAAACAATGAGCAGTGGCAAACAGCCTGAAGTTAAAGCTCACTACACGTTCTCAAGTCCTTTAAAGGCAATCTGTGCCTGCTACTTTCAAAATGTGTTTCCTGCATTTAAAGATAAAAAAAAATAATCTCTGCAGTAATTAAATATACATGTGTTTTAAAGGACAGGTCAGCGTATCCATAGTGTTAAATTATGATAATACAATGTTTCACAGGTCCAATAAAGCTGGATCACAGAAAAAGCCACAACCAGCAATATCACTACACAACTACTTAATCCTAAAAGCTAAAATCCTCAGGCAATGAGTCTCTAATCCTATCCATGGTCACAGACATAAACAGCTGGCAAAGCCAGCCCAGGCATTGCAAATATGTTTTCCTAATCATAAAAGGATGTGTTTAATCTTACTTCTTTTATACACAACATGCTTAAAACAGGTGCCTGGATTTTCCACTACCAGCAAAATCCTAAGCCTGATACAGTCCCCCTCTTCCAGTGTGACCAGATACTGTACAATTAGTACCACTCCTGTTTTAATACACTAGGATTAAGTTGCATTTTAAAGAAACTATGTATAAAATTATTTACAAAAAATTAAACACAACTGGCATGCTTAATAGTAATGTAAACATAAACTAAGGTACTGCAGTACAAAGATAAGATATATAAGGTGTATATTTTATAAGGGATTTCTGAGAATGTATTTACCAAGCACTGTTTGTGGTGTACTGACAGATGACTTAGTCACTGTGTGCACTTCTGTGATTTGCCTTCTACAGTAGGCTAGTTTGCATTGTATTTGCGTGACTACCGGATAGCTGTTTCAATTTGTTTAGGTTGGGCTACAGAGGCTCTACATATTTTATTCCAATTCATTCCATAATGTTGTCGTTTAGTCAAGGTTAGACAATAAGAATATGACTAAATCTAGAACAATTTCTACATTTACTTTATGCTGCACAATGTAACGAAAATATGACTTGCACTGATGGAAATCTGGAAGATGCAGCTAAACGCCATCTTGCAGACTGCTGTCCGCTTGTTAGCTTGCTAGCAGGACTGTAGGCCTGCAGGCAGAGCACAACTAGTCGGCTATTCAAGGAAGCAATGTACTCAGTCACTTCGTTAGAGACTATTTAATTTGTGATTTAACAACGTCCGCTAAAAAAAGCAAACTCGATTTAACGCAAGACTAGTAGAATTTCATGACGGGTAAACCCCATAGCTGGCATATAGTGCAAAACAAGTAACCACAGCCACTTCGGGGCAGACTCTGCTACTCTTCCGCAATTGCACGGGGCGATCTATAGTTAGCCTATAAGCCAACAGTGGGCAAACCTAGCCTAGCAACTCGCTAGGTGCTTGGCCTCCAGAAATCCACTTAACTTACCTACACACCAACAATCTCGTTAAAACTGATAGCGCCCAGTTGATTGGATTACGTTGCGTCGGTATATTTACTTGGTTTCTTGATCCTTTAACGATAGTTTTCCAGTGTCAGTAACAACTGCAAGGTCGGGTGGCGATGGCCTGTTTGACTTTAGTAGGCAAGAAATGCAATAGCAGATGCGGGTGTGTTTTCGTAAAATAGATTACTATCCATCATCCTTCACTGGTGATAAGTAACTTGCTAACATGACTAAGCCAAGCTAACGGCGCTGCACCGGCGCGGCCGTGTCACTACAGAGAGGCAGCAACATGCTAACTTGTTAGTTCGGCTTGTTTAAAAAAAAAAAAAAAAAGTGTTAACGCAGATACAACAATTCGCGTTAACAGTGCCCGAATATTATATTGTGTGCTATTTAAATTAACAAGTGATGCTGGCGGTTCTGCTATCGCCAATAACCAATATTTGATGTTAATCTGTTTACGGGACGTTTATTGTTCCAGCCCAGCCCTGTGTATCATCCACTGAAAGCAACATCTTTAAATTTAAAATTTTGAGTACAATGCAGCTTAATACTAACCATAAAGCGTGAGGTACTAACATTGTCGTACCAAGTGTCTTTGGGCTGTCAACTACCTTATACTTTAAGTACAGTCTTTTAGGCCAAGAAGTACCTTCGCTGGGCCATCACTGACATCGAGCCTCACTCGCCAACATTAACGTTACTTCAACGCCAGTCAGGCGCTTTTGCTGGAATTCACAGCAACCTATATTAAGTGATTGGATGAATAAATCAGCTTTGTGGAGATAGGTTTTGTTGCAATTAGTGTATCCGACGTAAATACTGAGCGCCAGGAACCATCACTGCAGGCACTCTTGTACCTCAGCCGCTTGTGTTTGCTTATGATAAAATCGCCAACTTAAGGTTAGCTATCTGAGTGGCTAGGGAGCTACTATCGCTACCCCACCCCCGGGCAGTACAATACCGCCACAATTTATCATCTAAAAAGGTATTAATAGATACTATGAAGGATATGGATGCAACATGATCACCGCTTTTTAAACCTTACCTGATTCAATCTGCGTTTGTTTTTGCGTTTTGGCATTGACTGGAAAACAAGACGGCGTATACCTCCGATCCACGCATCAACGAACACCACAGTGCTAGCTCACTAACTAGCTAGCCAGCTAGCGTTAGTTTTCCGAGTAGCAGCCCTTCCCGAACGCAGGCTACAGCTTGGGAGCCTGACAACCTCAGTCAACCAACCGGAGAGGGGAGGGGGAGGAAGAATCACACCCACTCGCCTTGTGCTGGAGACACTGCCCAGGCAGACAAAAAGGATAATCATTAAAATCAATGTACCTCATTCAATAAGACAGCCTATTAACGCTATCTCCCCTTTGCCAAGCTTAACATCTGCCCTGCTAGTAACTCTCCCCTCCGGCCATCGAACGACGAGATGGGCGCGGTAACCCTGCAGTCAGCGCCGGGAAACCCCACGTTGCAGCAGCGATAGAACAGAACCTTTGATTGGCGTTTTAGCTAGAGGAGATGCTGCCGTTATCAGTCGCATTGAGCAATGTGCAACGTTAGTGCTTTTTGTGTAGTGCCTATATTCCATTAGAGTGGACTGAAAAACCAGAGAACGCGATGTTCATTTGTTTCCCCCCGCAAACCAGTTAACTGAAAGGCTGAGTCAGTTGGTCTTCAAGTATGGAAGAGGAAGCAGTGATATTTGCAGGGTTCTCTATAGCTATCAAATAATGACAGTGTAAAAATATAATATGTCCATAGCTAATTAGGAAATAAAATTAAGTATGTTCTAACAGAAGTATGTGCACCTCTTTCACTTTAGGAGCTAGGCTACCTAACAAGGTTATTAATCCTTGTTCAAGGAAGATGTTACAGATAAACACAGGCCTACACATTTCCCCAAAATATTACAAAATGATCATAAATAATTTGTGCAACACAGTAACATAAAGGGAAATGACCTTTAACTACCATAGCTGTTAATTAAGCTTTATCTATTCAGATAGTCTCATAGAAATCAACATTAAAGTCCCTTTAGTTTGTGCCTTTTAGTTGCATTTCATGCCATTAATGTGCATAGGCTACTACCAGAACCCAGTACAAAAAGTGGTAGGCCTACAACATAATATACACTTGTATCTAAATACAGTTTGAGTGTTAGGAAATAATTGCTTTCAATCAAAGGACCTCACCATCATTTGGACTATATTTTTAAATTATCTTCTATAATCTAATACCATGTGCAAAATGAGGACATTTTATGATAGCCTGGTAGCAGACTTCTGAACCACCCAGCACATAAAGGCGAAACAAACTAACTCAGAATCATGCATTTTTAACTGACTGAAATTTGACCATGGCATGCAAATGAAATTGGTTGCAAAGATGCTGAACCAGGAAGAAAATGGTATTTGTTCTGTCTGGTCATAAAACATATTGCTTTGTACACAAGTTCTAATGCACCTGTATGCAAATCGCCCACAGATCTAGCACCAATGGCACGATAAAAACATAGCTCCCTGTCATTTTGAACCCTTTCATATATCAAGTAAACTATCATTTCCACTAAGGTGTGTATAGGCCAAAAGGAACCAAATTAATGTAATTTGGTGATTTAAGATAGTGAAAATCATTTGCCTTTTCTTTCGTGCACAAGTTTGATCCAAAATTCTCAGTTTGTTGTGGCTAGCTCTGACTTGATAAGGTTAACTTAATATTGTCATTCAGACCCTATGAATACTGAGGATCATTGGAGGCATATGGTATATGGGGATTTATTGCATTTCCACTTCACTAACTAATGTGAAATTCCTGATGTTCCCATTGCAATCTTGGCAATAACTTCTTGTAGTTAAGTGCCTCCTTATTTGGCTGCCTGCTTTCATGAGGGTCACTGGGGGCTGCACAAACACCTGCTAATGGCTCACAGCAAGCTAATTGCAGCTCCCATAAGTGGAACATGTGATGTTGAGGTCACAAAAAGGCTTCTGATTGTTTACATATTTTGTTATCTTGTCTTAAGCTCTTTCTGCCTTGGTTACATTGAGAATAACAATTCCAATATAGCTATGATGTTGACCATCCATTGGTTGACAAATACTCCTAATCCATGATTAGAAAGTCTATCCTCTAAGTGCCATAAAAGGTCTTGAAGTTCTTAAACTCTGGGGACAAGGCATTGGAGGTGGAGAAATGGTGATGCTAAAATATCCTCTCATTTTGCAGTAACTGTTGTCATAGTGCAAGTTCTCAGGCGTGTTTGTACTGCCAGAAACATGGTGAGCACCTTATAAACTAACTTCAGATACAAAATAGTTTATTCTAATATGTAAGTAACATTATTTATAGTGAAGTAATTCTAGAAGTTCTGAAGTGTTTTTGATAATTCTTGCTAACCTCAAATATGAAATATTGCAACTCCATATAATTGTCCTTACTTTGTTTCAGGCCAACAAGTTAACACAGGAGCAGATTGCAGAGTATAAAGGAGTTTTCGAGATGTTCGATGAAGACGGAAATGGAGATGTAAAGACACAGGAGCTGGAGAGACTGATGAGCTTAATGGGAATTAATCCTACAAAGAGAGAGTTCAGCCAGATGGCCAAAGACGTGGACAAAGATGGTGAATATAAGCTTGCAATGGCTGCAAACCCCGCACTACTATGAAAACAAATATAATTCTCCATAAATGTAACAATGGTTCTTCTTCAGCTGGCTTATTTGCCCCTTGTAGGCTCATGACTGAGTTTAAGATAATAGAGTTTAAGTAGTTAGGGTCTTAGACACACCCATGACAGTATTTGAATTTCAACATTATTGGGTATATGTGCAAAATAACATGTAAACCAGTACCACACCCCTACCATAAATCCTACCTTTTTGAAGCACTTTATGCTCATTTTTTGGTGGTGCTATAGTATATACAATTAGCAACTATGGGGAAGTAGTAGAAGCTTTTTATCTGTTTAAAGTTCAACACAAACTAAGTCAGGAATTAAACTGCTGAATCAGGTTTTGTAATGCCTGGTCATTCACATTATAAAATCAACGTTTGACACTTGATGTGATAAAGTTAAGCTAAATTCATCTCAAGACATATTTGGAATTATACATCATTCCAGCTGATTGGGTCTAGATATCAATTCAAATAAATCCAGTCAGAGTGGGATTCCAGACATATGTGTAACCTTTTAAGAGAACAACATCTTTCAAAATGCATTATGAAAAGGCATAATATTATCTAATGCCGCAGTATTCAGTTAACTGAAGGTGTGCACATTAATCACCAGGTGGCAGTATTTCACTATGTGATTTATATATCCATCCATCCATTATCTATACCACTTATTCCTGAATAGGGTCGCGGGGGGCTGGAGGCGAGGTATACCACGCTGGACAGGTCACCAGTCTATCACAGGGTTGACACTTAGAGACAGACAATCACACACACCCACATTCACTCCTACAGGCAATTTAAAGTCACCACTCAACCTAAGATGCATGTCTTTGGACTATGGGAGGAAGCTGGAATACCTAGATAGAACCCACGCTTGCACAGGCAGAACATGCAAACTCCATACAGAAAGGCCGTGGGTCGGCCGGGACCACAGCGCTAACCACTGTTTTATTCCACATTTTACAACATAACCCAACCTAATCCAAATAATTAGCTTCATATTAGTTATCAAAATCATTTTCATCTATTACTGTGACACAGAATAGTCACAAAAGAACAATATCTTGCGTCAAAATCTCCAGTCACAGCCATTGTTGAACAGCTATATTATGTGCAGCAGAGCACTGAAATACTGCACCGTGATTTTCTACATTCTGCTAATTTTAGTCGCCTTTAACAAACCTAGCTAATTTTCACCATATTTGTCATTTCATCTGTTATGCTGGAGGATATACTTTTTCATTCCCTTTACTGTTTTCTTAATCCTCTATTCTTCTTTATACCTCTTATCCCTCTGGATTGAAACAAGAAACAACAATAATGCAAGCAGAGTTTTATTGCAAATTTGAAATGTCTTTTTAAAATTGTTGATGCCGAACAAAGGCTCATCTGTATTATCCAAACTCAAGAATCTACAGATTCTGAAAAATGAAGCTGATCTTATGAATATAAAGTAAGTTGGAATATAGATATCATTAGATAATTACCATTTATCATTGGACAACCAACATTAAAACAGTTTGGTGAGGTGTTGTACTTGATAATCTTTCATTTAATTGCATATAAAATTAACATTCTCTCCGAGTATATGTATTCATGTATTTTTTTCTATGTCTGTCAAATTAAGAAATTGAAGTTTATTATTTTTGGGACATTTTTAGGTAAAGGGACATTTAACTGTGACAGCTTTCTGGGTCTGATGGCGCTATACCATGAAAGAACCAAGAATCAGGATGCTGAACTCAGAGCTGCTTTTAAAGTGTTTGATAAGGAGGCCAAGGGATATATTGACTGGAACACACTCAAGTAAGAATAACATTTGACAAAATAGATTTTCATCTTCAGTAAATGAGTAAATTATTTCTACGGTCTTCTGTTACCCACTAAATTCCACAGCACTGTTAAGTACCTGTCAAGTAATTACTTATTTTGTCCAAAATTTAGATAAAACACAACTACAAACACAATAAACACGCTCACAGGTTTGTGTTCATTACTGTATTGGCATATGTTAACAGTGTTTTTCATATTAATATTCATTTTCAGATATGTACTAATGAATGCAGGAGAACCACTAAATGAGATCGAGGCAGAGCAGATGATGAAGGAAGCAGATAAAGATGGAGATGGAACCATTGATTATGAAGGTACATCTTATGTAAATATAAAAATTCACTTTGGCTGAAAAATATATTTAATGTTGTTGATAGATAGTGTATACATTTTGACATTACTACTGTTAATCATTTTTATTAAAATTTGAAAATGGTTAATACCCATGTGTTGGAATCAGTCAGAAATGTTTATAACAGAAAGTCATTGGTCTTCATTAACAAAGATAAATATATTATGTTTCAACAAATTTGATTTAATCTGCAAATATGTTACCAAAGAATGAAACAGTGTTACAAACACTGCAGCACTCATTAATTGTGAATTTACTGCATATGCAAAAACACTTTGCACACATTTCACTGCACTTAGATAAAAACAGTGATGATGACGATTATCCTTATTATTTCACTCTTTCAGAATTTGTGTCAATGATGACTGGGGCATTGTTTAAAATGAGCTGAAGACTTAATGAAGAAAGGCATCTCACTTTGAACCTTGTGCAGCAGTTGTGAACATACTGTACTCGATGTGTTCCAGTGACATAGGATTATACAACAAGAAGGTTTTCTTTGCACTCAACATATTTCCATTATTTCTAGAAATGTGTGCAGTGACATATCTCAAGATTCATTATTTACAGAACTGTCTGATCCCATGGAGAGATTGCATTTGCTGTGTTTTGAATAATTGTACAAAATGTTCACATAAAAGTAAAAACAACTAGAAAGTGATTGTTCAGTGATTTTTTTGTGTGTTTATTTGTGTGTTTCTGTCTGGTCATTGAGGGTTAGAGAAGAGACACCATAGGGTTAATTTCCTCAGACCTGCTACCCGGATGCAGTCGTTCACATGGGTCTGACAGCATCTGCTGTGCAGAGCCATTAAGTCCCATTCTCATCCCTGCAAAGTCAACCAGACAGTTCGGGGAGCCAACCGCATCTGTCATCTTGAAGCCATTAGACCAATTGCAGGGTGAAGGGGGAGGGAGCTTGGCACACTGATCTCTGTGTGCAGCATCCCTAGAGCAGCCTCTGTTGTGTGAAATACAAGAAAGGGCAATGCGGAGGGAGTAGATCGTTGGGGGTTAAACTGAGAACAGGAAAGGAATCTCTCGGAAGCTGCTGGGATATGGGCCTTGGTGTATGGAGTCCATCTTCTGAGAAAATTGCTGTTTTGTCAATGTAAACAATCTGTGCAGTACCTGCATTGCTAAAGGGGGAAGCAGAAGAAGAGGAGCAGGAGGAGGAGGGGCAAACACCCTCTTCCAATGAAATTTTACCTTCTCCAGCTAGCCCCAGCCTGCCGCAGCTCACCTCTGAACTCTTGCATGTTATGTGTTAAGGTATGTATGCATCGCTAATCTGACTGGACACATGCAATAGGACATGGTCACGTTGGCAGGATTAGTAGCTCAGCTGTTTGTACAGGACAGCCATGATACGGTATAGTCCATCTTGAATAAAAAAAAAAAAAATTCATTCATAACTCCTACAAATAAAAAGCATACACTGATTTATACAAAAATGACCATATAAAGTGTTGCATGCTCTCTCCTGCAGTGCGTGGACTGTTGGACAACAGCAATGACTGAATCCAGTGTTTGATTTTCATTGGTTGTTTGACTCAGCTGCACATTTTTCATTAAGAACACAAGCAGACAGGATGCACTAAGTAGAGTGAAATGGATTGTATGTCTTTTTCCACTGTCTTAAAATAGAAAGCATATTCATGTTTTAAAATTCATTGTAGATGTAAATCTTCAGGATAAATTGCTTTTTTGTGCTCATGGGATGTGTGTGTGTCTGTGTGGGAGGTACATGTACAAGTCTTGGATGCAGTGGTTATTTATAGAACCTGTGTGTGCGCGTGTGTAAGCTTGACTTTAACGTTTGAACATCACTGCCAACACATTTCCTCGCGGTGCATGTTACAGTTTGAGTGGTTAGCATTCCTCTGTATTTTATCAAGTTTTTGATGCCACTTTCCTCCTGTGCCTTTGCTAACCACATCCTTGCCAAAACACCCTACCACAACCCAAGTGGCACAATCAGTCATGGTTTGAATGAAATCAAAAATTGAATGCGCCAAAACTGAAAGGTTTTACTTTATTTTTTTTAACAAGGATTTAAAATGATCAGTTGAAAGGTTTTATTTTATTTTTTAACAAGGATTTAAAATGATCAGCAGTGCACAGAAACAAATAAGAAATTACATTTTAGTATTTCTGCAGGAGTTGAAGTATCATCTCACCCAGCGGTTCTTTCAACGAATTCCTCCACATATATTACATAAGAAAAATCGCAAAAATAACACTGGATTAATCAGTTTTCCCCCTTTTTGTGCTAGTTTTAGGTCTTATTCTCCAGATCAAATGGCCGACGCATCATCAGTGCATCAACAAACCCCATATCGGAGGGAAAACACTTGTGTCAGTCATGACACACACTAGAGCCTGACTGACATAACTACATCAACAGAGAGGTTCGAAAAACATCCTTCAGTTTAAACAGTTACATCTGACCATGGCTGTGACTCCAGCTAAAACAACTACAAGTGTTCTCTCCACTACTGCCACAACCACACCAATCCTGTTCCCCTCAACGAGCGCCAGAGACAATATCACCTCCAGAACAACATTAATGACTGTTACTATAACAACAAATGAGAGCAGCTTCAACGCCACCTCATTTCCAGAAGTAGTGATCAAGGGCTCAGGAATGGGAATGGTGCTCGTACCCTTTGGCATTATCACTGTCATTGTCTTAGCAGTGGCACTGGTAAGCAGTTATTTAAATATTGTCTCTAAAATTGCCTTGTTTAGTAGAAACTGATTCCTCCCAGTATTGTTTAATTTTTTTCCCTCTATTTGTCTTGACACAGCTCAGACATAGTAATATACTTGCCCTCTATCATTTAATTTGACGTAGTTACTTCTAATGATAACATTACTTATTTGTGTTTCTCATATCTGTTTTTCTCCTTCCTAGATGTTGTATATTCGAAAACGGAAGCGGTAGGTTTATGAAACATTTATTTGCTGATCCAACATCCAGGCAAAGTTGAATTACCATAGTCAATACATTCTGATAGTTTGAATATTTGTTAATTTGATAGTACATTTGCACTAGTAAAATATAACTAAAGCATGTCCTTCATTATTAGGTACATTTGTGACTGTGTCTTCTTGAGGAATACTTTGTCAAAATGTAGTTTAAAAAGCTTTAATATTTTAAAATGTATTATGTCAACATACTGTATATTCCCAAGCAAGTACTGATAGCACTGGAGTTAATGGGAACTTGAATGCAACAGGGTACTTCACATTGCACAGGGGCAGAATAGGTGGCAGGTTAATAGGGACCCAAATTAAAATGTTTTAATTCAAATTGCAACCAACCATTTTTTTTTTTTATTTGACTGCTAATTGCCCTTCACCTTTAATGGCTTGTCATGCAGGTTGGAGAAACTGAGGCACCAGCTCATGCCCATGTACAACTTTGACCCGGCTGAAGAACAGGATGACCTGCTGGAACAGGAACTATTGGACCATGGCCGAGAAGGCAGCCTCACAGGTCCCAATGCCAAAGTAAGCCGGGAATTGTTTGGTAGAAAGTGAACGGACTGTTCATATTCATATTCTCTATCCTACATGAAACATTTATATGTTTGACAACTGTTTTATCAAGCCCTCAATCACAGCCATGATAAAAATATTTCATTTTCCTTCATATTCTTAAAGAGCCCATGGCATGCTTTTCCTTGTTTTCTGACTTATCTATAATGTTACAACAGTGAATTATCATCTTAGACGTGACCTAAAGCTTAAAAAATTTGGTGTATGGAGGTTCTAGTACCTCTATGCAGAAGCAACTCGGTTTCTCGCTTGTGAGACTTTTTTTTCTAACAAAATTAAGTATTAAGTTATAGTTTAAGTACCATATTTCCTTAAATGGTCATAATCTTCAGGCAGTTTTCATTGTGTGTATTGTGAAACCACCCCACCCCTTTTCTACAACCCTCACTCTTTCTCATATCATTATTTCAGTAGGCTTTCTCAAGCAAAATCCTAGTAGGCTAGACGTTTTTGATTCGACTGCACCCGATTCAAAGAAAATGCTAAGAGGATGCACACTAGCACACTGGAAGTCTTTATCTTTTAACCTACATCAGTTTTATCTTATTCTTTTCTTTGTGCTCTCTCAACTTAATACTCACACATCAAATATTAGTGGGAAAATGTATAAACACTAAAACTGTCTGTTATTTTTTAAAAAATGTAATCCAGTAGGATCCCACCTTGAAAACATACAGTGCCACAAGAGATAAAAAAAATATTAAAGTCCAGTTTTTTTAACATTGACATGACAACTACATCAAATCCAGTACAACTGGGCAAATGCAATTCCCTGATTAAAGCTGTGTAATGTGGTTAAAAGGTCCAGAAAAACCACAATTTAAAATAATTTTGTCAAACCAATCCTAAACCAGTTTTAGCTTCATGTCGGCATTTTTAATATTTTGTCATTTTTACAACATAAACTTGTAGCATACTGTTTATGCTGAATCGTTTCCATGTGTACGCTGTTTTATACATTTGGCCTCTGGTTTTAACATTTTCTATGGTTTCATTAGTCAATCGCATTCTAAATCCTGATATATTAAATTCATTGTCATAAAATTAACAAAACATGTTACACTGGCACAACAACCTGTTATTGTTTTTTTGCAATTCAAGGCTGAAGTCACCAAGTAATCTGAATGTCACTAACAGTTTTATCTCTTACCTGTTCTGCTGCCCATCTCGTTTGCAGACCCTCACAACCTCCCAGGGGACCACGCAGAGGCCCAGTCGTCTGGTCTTCACAGATGTAGCCAAAGCTCTCAAAGCTTAACAGCTCTTTTCCCAGTAGATGGTTTCAGTTTGCAGGGGCCACTGGCCTCATCAAGATACAGGCCATTGCTCAGGAAAGAAAACAATAGGGAAAACAGATTTGATGGAGCTTTGATGAACATTTTTATCACTATGACACAGTATGTGAAATGGTAGTGGTTTTCAAATCATGGGGAAAAAAACAGGGTGCATGTATATGAAAAGGGAGTATAGCAAAAAGCATCACGTAGGATCTGGCACTGTTATCATTTGGCATACAAATGCAGTGTGAATCACTTTTTTAAAAGTCATGTGTCACTGCTGTTCAGTAGCTTGTCAGTGAAGTTCTTCAGAGCTTTATACTGTATATATACATCCATGCTTCATAAGGGAAGAGTGAAAATTTGTGTTATACTGATTTTTGTGGTCTCTGACAAGCTTGAACACTGAATGTGTTACCATCCTTAAATGAACTGCCATTTTATTTCTTCTTTATTGAGCAAAGGTGGTTTGTTTCTCTGTGTATGCATTATAAAGGTTTAAATTCTCAAAATGTTTGGTTGTACAAATAAACAAAAAAAAAAAAGAGTTGGTAAGTGTGATATTTTATTGATAAGCAAAAGAAGCAGAATAACACAAATCACATGATAAAGAATCATAACAAAATATATATCACAGGTTTGTGAGTTCTATTAATGAAGTGGATGACACATCAATAACATAACTACAAAATGGTGTTAAAAGTAAGGCATAGTAGACGATTTCTCAAGTTACACTTCAACTTTTCAATAGTTGAAAATGGATCAAGTACTGTATGTAACTATATAGCTATCAGTAAGATGACAAACAACATTATCTCCATATAGAGTAAATATCCAGACACAGCTCGTGTAGAATAACAAACATTGACTCAGCTGTATTTAAAATGAAGAGGCACCCTTCAACCTGACTGCCATTCACTTAGGATGGTATGAATTTAGTGACATGAGATGAGTGGACTACAACAGTACTAGTTTGACAGTTATTTCAGGATTTAATGATCGCCTGCTAGGCTGATGGAAAAGGTCCGGTACAGCTAACCAAAGATTTCCTCACAGATGACCCAGGCTTGTTTGTTTTCTGAGGTAGTCCAGAGGGCAAAAAAAGTAAAGTCAATGCAGTTGAACAAGAAAACATTCATGTCTATAAGTGAACCGAGCCCTATGCTGGCAGCAATTTAGTAAACAATGCTGAAATACAGTACATCTAATTATTGGGATACAACACATCAGTGATAAAATAAGTACGATTTAGTGAAGAAACACTTGATATAGGATGCGTGATATTCAAGTCATGTAATAAACAAGTACATGATATGTAGTTCATGTTGGATAAATGTCTTCTACACACGACAACACGAGGACAGAATTTGCAGCAATATCTTGAAGCTGTCTATCAGTTCATGTGCTGAAATCCTGACTGACAAAGTGTTAAAAACATTTTTGTAAAAAGAGACTATAGACTAGAAACCTCAATTTGGTAATCTACAGTAAAATTAAAATCTCCACAAATACCAGAATTATTATATATGACTATCTGTTATGCTAAAACTTAACAGATCTGTTGAAATTTGGATAAACTGATCCTTTAAAGTAAGAATTTGCAATGTCTGAAAGTAGAACCACAAGTACAAAGGCGAACAGGCAATAAAACACACATTCATTACAGTACAGTTATGGGTTTCCTGCTACAGTTAGTTGTTACATAATAAACAGGCAGTTTGCTAAGTTCAAAGCACCTTTCAACATGTGCTACTGTTGCACTATATTTTAGCATTTACCCATTATGGTCGCACTGCGGTCACAGTTGTCACTGTTCACCAAAATCTATAGTCTTGCTTTTAATAGCCAAATAGGAACAAAGGAACAACTTGGGTCTTTTTTCCTCTCAAAAATTGGTCAGAGACAGGGTTACTGACACAGTGTGTAGAACTGACAACCCACTATTTATTTGGCAGTTTTCACAATGTTACTGTGGTGATGTTGTCTAGTTATTTTCCATAACTGTCATGTATTTCAGCACTGCATGGTTATTTGCTGCCCCTCCTCTCAAATCACACAAATTAAGAATGTCACACATACAATTTACAGTGTAAGAATCAGAAAATACATGATGTAGTAAAAATGAAAACTGTGACCCCCCACCCCACCCCCCAAAAAAAGTATTTCATAAGGAACTACACCCTAGAAAAAAAAAAAAGTATTCCGTCAAGTTATTGTAAACTATTGGCTGCATTTTATTTCCCAGGAGTAAAAACAAACAAGTCTCGCTTTCAGCTTTTAACATGAAATGATGATGTTTTATTTGTACGAAATCCTCTAGTAAAATCCTCTATTGGAGTGTAATGTCTGTGTTCGTGCCTTTGTTTGTGCGTAGGCCTGAAAACCTGCCGGTCTGTGTTGTGTATTTGGACAAGAACCTGCGTGCGTGTTTACAGAAAGTGTGTAATGTCACAGCCGAGGGAGTGGATTATTGCTTTGTTGGAGATCTTCTGTCTCTTGCGTCACTGAGGTAGAAGGAGAGTTTAAGAAATTGAGGGTAACTGAGGTTTTTTGAGGTCTTTGTGTCAAGGCATACTGGTAATGTCAAATACAGATTAGAAATGCACAACAAACAGCACAAAAATTATTGAGTAGATTGACAACATGTTCCTGAATACTGTATATTGTACCTGAGGTTTCAATATGGTGTAAAAGCATTGTAATAGTAAAATCCTGAGTGTGGTAAAATGACACGTCAACATTGTTGTTGACTACAGTAAGCATGAAGGGTTTCTTTCCAAAATGAGATATCCATTTTTAAACAGATTGGCTCTTTTATCCCCTTGAATGAGCCGCAAATCAGAAAAAAAAAAACTGATGATCTGAATTCTTTGTTTATATTGACATTTAAGTTAATGTAACCCAATGCATTTTATTCTAAGAAAAGAACAAGACATTTTTCTCTCTATCATTGGATACTGCATTTTGGAATAAAACCTTTCACATCTACTTTCACAATAATGACTTCAGCGCAACATGTTTATATTGTAACATTGCTAAAAATGTGACTGTCTTGCTCCCAGTTTGCGAGGATTCATGACAGCTGAGTTAAAAACGTTTCAATAAAATGGTTCAGTTTGGTTTCTTTTTTGTTTTTCTTAACCCCTCTCTCATTTTAGCTTGCAATCATCACACATACTCACTCACACTGATGAGTTCAGGAAAGCGAGTATCCTTAAAGGAACTGTCCAACATTTTTGAGAAATAGGCTTATGGGTTTTCTTCCTGAGAGTTAGATGAGGAAATTGATACTATAGCTTAGCATAAAGAATGAAGACAGAGTGGGGGAGTTAGCTAAAGTTAACAAAACAAATAACAAAGTCTGCTTGCCAGCACCTACTAAGGCACATGCAGAAAGAACAGAGATACAAGATGGTAATTAATGAGCTTTAGTGGTGCTACTAAGACGATTTTGGACATTTTCAGACTTTGTGCTAAGTTAAGCTAACCAGCTGATGGCAGTATGCTATCCAAACAAATCTGATAATGGTATTTAGTCCTTGGAGAGAAAGTGAATAAGCATATTTCCCAAAATGGAAAACTACTGCCTTAAAAAGCCCCATTCAAAGATCAATTTCTTCCACATTAAAACCAAACTCTTGGAGTAAACCAACAATTCCAGGATACAGTATCAGACCGGGAGAACTATCCCACTGGAAAAAAAAAACAATTGTCTGCAGGGATTTTTAAAATGAGTGTGTTTCTGAATCCCCATCACAGATAGGAGTCAGACTGTACCCCTGTTTGAGGCCAAACCTTGAGGTAGGTGTCCTATCTACTCCCCTTTCTCCTGTGTTGGAACCTGAGATGACGAGGGCACAAGGTGTGAGGGACCCTCTTCAGCCTCTTCTGAAGGGCCCTGGAACAGCAGGGGGCCAAAATTAGTTTGTCTGTTATTGTCTCATCTTTTTCAGTCTAGTGACTCATTCGGTACGAGGTAATGAATCAATACTAGAAAGAGCACGAGAAAGAATGAGTGTTAAAAATTTCATTGAGTGATTGCGTGCAGGGAAGCAGGTCCAGCTGTCAGACCTAGAAATGTGAGGAAGACAACGGTTATGTCAGGAAACCAAGAAGACAGAGGAAGAGAACAGTTAGATCAGGTTTCCCCTCTCTACATTGACTCATTCTTCCCCTCCATGTGCATGCGTCTGAGAAAGGGAGTCTGTCTCAACGGTTTCAGTTCTTGAAGCATCTTAACCTCTTTGACTAACTGTTCAGTGGAGGGGATGTGATAAGGTAAGATGAAGGGCATCAAGAGAGCTGGCGCGCTTTGGTGACAACTGTTGTGCAATGTTTTCATGTGAAAAATGAACAAGATGGCTAAAAGAGACAAACGTTCTGAGAAACACTTGCTGTATATATTCACCAAAACTGGATCTTACAAAAGGATGTTTGGAGGTGTATCTGGGGAATTCAGCACCATGTTTCCAAGAAGTCGTCATATCCGCATGTCAACAGTTTATGTAAAGCACAAGGAAGGAACACGCCATTTACACAGAATGTGCCACTGCAACAACACAAGTATGTATGCGCAGTAAAATAATGTGGCATACTATAAGGTTGTGCTAAAAGGCTATTGTGGAAAAATAAAGATTAGATCTAATTTGGTATAAAAAAGCAAAGTAAAAATATAAATATATGCAAAAGAACATAAAGATCACAAGTGCAAAGCTGCTGGGGAACAATGTGTTAGACAGGACTGGGGACATACTGAGGTTGAGCCTGGGGTGTTTTACAGTAGAGTGCGGAAATTGGGATATTTAGACGAGTATGGATTTGCATTAAATTGCACTAGATTATATGACAAACATATCTAAACCTGGTGAAGAATTACTGAGTAGGTAGAGGGACATCCTACCTACTGCCCCTACAATGTGGGAAACATGCTTATGTGTGAACTGTAATATACTGCTCAAAAAAATAAAGGGAACACAACATAAGACATCCTAGATCTGATGTGTTCCCTTTATTTTTTTTGAGCAGTGTATATAAACTTTTTAATATTATATAGTATATTTGTATTTGTAATAATGATAATATACTGTGTAGCCTATCTGTAAATTGCAGACATGACAGGTAGCTGAGATGAGGACTGTTATACGTCATCACCCTCTCTCTTGTGTTTCTTGTCTGTCTCTCTACTCTTTATTCATAAAAAAACTATCATAAAAAATGGTAGCTCTAAAATAAATCCCACCTTTATGACAGATATAATGTTCAATTTCTGTTGAAACCGTTTAAGAGAGAAGTAGATTCAACTTGGAGGCTGCAGTTAGTTTGTTGTGCTTCTGGATTGTATTGTATTATACTGAGAGGTGTTTCTAATATTTTGGCCACCATGAAAATGAGGGCAGACTAAATATTACAAACACATCTCCATATAATGCAGTGCATCAGTTGTAGCTAGGCGTACCTAATAGACTAGTAACTGAGTTGAATAGTACACAGCAGTCCAGCTGGAAACATGTAGGGCACAGGTTGTTGGCTGCAGCCCCACTGTAATGTGCACAGAGGGCTTTTAAATGTAGTTTAGGTTTGATGCTGAACATAAGCTCCATGATTAACACAAGCTTATGATACTCAAGCAGTTAAATGAGATCAACTGTGCAAATCAGCACTGTACTTACAAACCGTACAACACAAATGTGACTGATATTAGTCAAAATGGAAATGTGTGACACAAAATGAGACTGTTCTGAATCAGAGTACATTCCTCTGCAGTCACAAACTCTAAAATGACTTCAGCTTCAGTTGATGTAATACTTACTAATTCAAAGAATAAAAGAAAAAATTAAAAGGTGAGAATAACTTTGTACATATGCAGTGTGAGAACATTACATTTAAAAGAGCATACATATATGGAAGCATGATTTCATGCTTTGAGAATCAACAAACCCACTGCTCAGTTTGTCCGATTATGAGCCATTAAGTATACATTTTATTGAATATGGAACATAACTCTGAAAGTCAAGTTATTTTTGCTTTATTTAATTTATTTACTTTAACTCGGTCATTTTAAATCCCCAATTAAATCAAACCACAGTCATGTTTCAGTTGTGGAAACCTGTGGCTTAAAGTGCTACAGCAAAACAAAACTAGACCACCCTTCTGATTTCGTTTTCCTTACCTGCTGCTCTTTAGTTACTTCTTGAACTACTTTCTGGGGCTGTGAAAAAAGAAGAAACAATATTAATTAAACATGAAGGCACAGTTGCCCTTAAAGACTGTACAACTCCAGCATGCACAGACACCTTGCAGCCTATGGACATACATTCATAGGTAGCTATCATGTTTTTAAGTGTTACAAGTGATTGCTTCATACCCATTTCCTTGGTCGCCCGCGTGGTCGTCTCTCCCCAACGGGCTCTACTTTCTGAGAAAGAACAGATAAATCTTCTAAAGAGAGGTTCATATTTCAACAATCATGCCAGACTAATCTGCACAGTTTTCAGTGAACTGTGGTTTTTGAGACTTCAGCAGCAGACTTCTTTTTTTATTACTAAATCCATGTTACGTTTCTCTCAGGAGTTAAAGTACTGTACAGACGTTTTGTCCTATAAAATGTAGTAATATAACTAAAAAGGTTATTCAGGGATACCTCTACAAGCACAAGCTGAATGGCTAGAACGTTAAACACTGTCAACACATCACTAAAGGCATATTTTGCTTTTTTTATTTATCTTCTCTAAATCTGCTAAATTTCCCAAAATTTGTGTGACTTACATGTCTAATTGCAGAGTCATACATGAAATTCTTAGGTCTGCCATTACAAATTTAGTAAGTTCAGTTATTTGTTGATAATATTTGTAGTTTTGGGGGCGAGGGCTAAATTTCTTTTGTGAGTCATGTCTATATCTCTGCCAACAAAATAAGATGACTATTTTTCTACATGTTACACATGTTTGTAAAAAGACCAGTAGATTCATATATCTACAACATATTATAAATGCAGTAGCAGTTCCTCTATACATACAACAGCATTGTTGCTAATAATGATGCATCTGAGTGTATGTTTGTACAAGTGTGCAGTTAATGTACTTTGAATAATTGTCATACAAAACAATGGTACACAAAATGCTAGTTAATACTTAATAAATCACAACCAACGAATGATTTTTTAATGAAAGTTCATCCCTCACTGTCATTTCTAACAGGTTTAAAAAGAAGTAAAAGAACTAAACCGTGTCTGGTTGTGTGACGTGATTATGTTTAGAATGAACATGCATTGAGTAAACTGTATTTATTTAAAGATGTGAGCTCATGAAATGCTTTTCTCTGTTTTCTGACTTATCTACAATGTTGAATTATCATCTTAAACATGATTGAAAGCTCAAAAAACAAGGTGTACCTCTGTTGTTGTACTTCTATGCAGAAGGAACTCGGTTTATACAAGTCCCACAAACTCTTGCTGGTGAAACTTTTTCCCCCCAACTGTGTAAAGTCTTACACAGTATTTTACAGATTTCCTTGAATGGTCATAATCTCCAGGCAGTTGCACTTTCATGTGAGCTTGTCTGACATCCACCAGTGCCATTGTAAAAGTGGATTTTTTCAACTGCACCCTCATTGTGTGGATATATTTTACCTCCTGCTGCTGCACTATGACCAGAAGATAAGAATACAGGGCCTAAGGTTACTGCATGTCCAGGAACGTTCCTGTACAGGGACTCACTGTTTTACCTGACCGGATCTGATGTGGTGTAAATGGAGCGGATGAAAACCTACAGGCAGCTGGTCAGCGAAGCACCCAGGGGCGGTGAATGATCAAATCATCGACACTGGATTCCCCTGGAGCACAGTACTCGTTTATTTTGACTGCTTGAGGCCAGTGTGTCTGACGCATGTGATGTGTTGCGAATTGGCGAAAGGATTCTAACGATCCGTGGTGTTATTGTTGGTGCAAGGCTACCTGTTAGAATTATTTTGCTACACTGGGACTATATGTGGTCGTCTATAACGCAAGGGATCTGTGGAGGAAGAGGCAGTGATCATCGGTTGGATTTATCGACCTTGCAGCTACTTGAAAGGGAGGGATGTTTCCCACTACTCGGTGGGATGTAATGTTAAGTTAAAAAATGTTTACGTTGCATGTCTGTTGATGTGTTGTTTCTCTAACATTAGAGAGAATTGTTGTAAGGCTGGAGAAGTTGCTATGTCTGCATTATGCTAGTTAAAATGTGGGGTTTCTCGATTACCTTTGTTTAGAGTGTTACACATCTCTTTATCAGTACATATACCATTGTTTACCTATATATGGAGGAGAAATTCAAATTAATTAATGCTGTTGCTGTTTGTTGTGCTGTCTACTTTCATATTCTGACTTGAACATGTCAGGTAGGATTTGAGGTATTGTCAGTGTCAAAAAACGTAGCTTATTTGTCAAAGTTTTGTTTACTGTAGCCTCCTGACTGGCAGCAGGAGTTGTGTGCATTCATGAACTATCCTCTTGTTTTCAGGAGGAGGCTCTCCTTGTGATATCAGGTTTTATTGTTCTAAAATAAGTAGACTGCTTGGTGCAAAGCTAATCTAGAGGTACCCAAGATTAAACATTAAATGGCTGGAAATGAGCATGCCATGTATCTCTATATAGTCAAATTCAGGCAAGCTGTTACAACTCTGTTTATTTTCCTTTTATATTTCTTAGTTTGAAGAACTGAGTTTGAAGAGTCACTTCTTCATTTGACATGAAGAACTTAGCTGCAGCTGTTGGAGTCAGCACAAAGCCAGTATGCGAGGCAGCTCCCAGTGGCTTTGTGTACAAGGTTAACCTAATTCAAGTCTAACCTTTATCATGGTTTGGATTGTCTTTATAATTATGAAAAGAACCAACCAAACCTCAATTTCATATAAATTACCGATACAGAGAAGGTTTCCACAATGAATGGGCTCTTCCAAATGCTAAAAAAGTAGAGTTTCTGGAGAGTGTTAACTCTCAAGCAACGCATACATTAATCAAACTCAAATACCTTGAGCTGTCAGCTTTTTTGACTGCAATTACAAGTAACTTTCTAAAATGAGTGTTAATAACAGGTTGGAAAAAAAAAACAAAGTTAGGTCCACTAATGATTTTATTAAACCCAATGTTAACATTTACGGTGCTCCAGTACAGTCCTGAGACTTACTGAATCAATGCCAAGGTGCACTGAAGCTGTTCTGGGGGCATGTGGCGGCCCGACACCTTAATAAAGCCCCTTTCAGACATGCACTGAAATCCTGAAATTATATAGACATTACCCGGACGAGCTGTATGTGAGATCGCAAATGTCCAAATCAGTTGACCTGGACATTTAGCACACTTTACCCTGCCCGTTCCCTAGTACAAAGTCCACATAATGTCCAAGTGAGCCGCAGTGAGCCCATGTGAGAATACAGCAGCGTAGTATTCACAATGAGCTAGTGGGAGTGTTGATGATGTTCTATTATGTGACCAGCATGAAACGAGAAGAACACAAACATCTGATGGTGAAGACAAATTATTTACAATGAAGACACAAACTGAAGTACCTAACTAGAGACACGACAGGATTCGGGAACAAAGTCTGGACCTGATTCTTCAGACACTGTCTGGAAAATAGCATAAGACGTTTTATGTTGGTTCCTTTAATTTGTCAACCTGAGGTTGTCTTTGTGCACAAGGTGTTAAACTACAATTTAACCAATACCTATGTCTGTTAAATAATGTAGTGGAGTAGAAAGTTCAAAATTGCGCAATTAAAGTAGAACGTATACAATGGAAATACTTGAATAACATTCAAGAACCTCAAAGCTTTACTTAAATTCAACATTTGAATGACTGTAACAAGTTCTATCTGCCACTATGCACTAGGCATTAGCTTCAGTACTCATTTGGTTTCTGTGTGTGAATCCTAACAGCCATCTCTGCACTGACCAGTCCATATCTCAGCATTGATCCACAGGCTGCAGCATAAATACAGCTCTGACTTAATCATTCTGATTTCTCTCTGTTTTCAGCTGACATCTGCCCTCATGATGACTGCTTATTGTCTTATAGCGTCTCACAAAAAAACAAAGATCTTTGCATTTCACAGCATACCACTTGGATGTTACTTTAATAGCTTTCTTTTGATTTAACAAAAATATATATCCTAAATGTAGGGCATCCAAAAACCTTCTACCTGGCAAACTAGACTGTAGGATTAGTGCAGGACCAAGCTACTGTTACAATTCTAAAATTAAAAATTAAAGCTCAGATAAATATTTAATATCTTAGTCTGATCAGTTTCAACCTTCAGTGCAGTTCTAGGGCCCTTGTTCTTGCTGCCTTTTGGTCGTCCTCTTGGTCGCTTTGGAGTCGGTGGTCCAACAGGCTCCTGTAGAGAGAGGTTGGATGTGGAACCATAACTAAACAATGAATGATCATGAGCTGTTTTCAATGCCCACGAGACATAAACACCTCATCAACTAGCTTTGTTTTTCAGCATTAGTCTCTAAAGTTTCAGTATACGTAATGATTTAAAGTCAGGAACTGACTGAAGTCCTACCTGCTGCTGTTTTCGTGGCCGACCCCTGCCCCTGCGCTGAGGCTCAGGGGGTGACTGGGCAGTGCTCGGCTGGGGAGACGGCTCTTTGGTGCCACTGTTACTCATGCCTGCGTCTGTCCACCTGCTTCAAAAAGTGTGGGCATCAAAGCTTGGAGGAGCGGCCTCAAGGGCTTAAAGAGGAAAAGACCTGAGTATCAGGAGCTGGAGATGTGAGCAAAGAAAAGTGAAAAAAATTACAACTTTTTGAACACACTTCTGAAAGAATTTTAGGATAATCAGCTGTATTGGAATACTTCAAAAAAATTCCTTCTGCACCCTGACTTTCAATCAGTGCCTAATAAATCACGAATAAATAATTGAGAACCACACAGGACCCTTTTCCAAGAGCAAGCGTGGGAACTGCTTATACATAAGCCTTGGCACCAGGGTCAACGGAACACAGACAGGGGTCTGGCAAATGCAGGGAAACATGAGAGTGCTGTGCAGCACCTAAAAGTAGCACAGATATTCACAAGTCAACCTACCATCCAAAATCTGCATCTACTGTACTATACACTGTCTGTTCATCGGTCTTCTCCGAGGTATTTCTCACTGGGTTCGTGCATGTAAAACATGCCAAGAGAAAACTTCAGAGCCGCAACAATTAGCCAACAGAAAATTAATCTGCTGCTTTTTTTGATAACCACTTATCAATATAAATAATAAAACTGCAAAAGTGCTAAACATTCTCTGGTACCAGCTTCACAGTTTTGTAGATTTGCTGCTTTTATTTGTCTCATGGTAGTAAACTGAATTATCTCTGGGTCACAAAAAACAAGACAAGACATCATCTTGGACTGGGATAAACAGTTTTCAGCATTTTCCAAAGTTTTTATAGCCAAAATGAATAACTGATTTATTAAGAAAATGTCTTAATAGCCTATATCAGTGGATTTGTTTTTAACTGATCAATCTTCTAGTTGAAAAAATGTCATAAAAGTGAAAAATAGCCCATGCAAGTTTCCAGAAGCCAAGTAACATATGAAATGGATTCATTAAGAAAACATCTAAACATTCTTAAATGACTAATCTTATAGGTAATATAAAAAAAAAGTCAGGAAACTGAAAATACCCAACACAAGTTCCCACAGCCCAATGTCACGCCTTCAAATTGATTGTTTTGTCACAGCAACTGTCCAAAACAAGAGGGAAAAAAATCAGTTTACTATCACATGGCCAACAAAAAAGGCACCAAATGACTTAATTGCTTTACTTTTTATTAAGAAAGCAGGCAACAGACGTGCAGTTTCAAATGGTAGTTGGTGATATCCCAAGGTGGTCGTAAGCTCTGTTAGGAATGTGCCAAACACTAATTGCCAACACAGCCTATCAAAACGGCCGCACCGAAGCAGGAAGTCGGAGTAATTTGGGAAATCTACGTCCTCTTTGAAACGACTTAAAGCCAAACGGGACGCACGGCGTCGTTTTGCCGCTTATAAGTTGATTTGGGAGCTCGTCGACCAGCGTCCTGCACTTCTTCTGCAGCAACAGACCGTCAGCTCAACTAGTCTCTGGCAGTCAAGTACGGGACTGAATGTACTTTCTGCATATGGGCGTCAATTGCAGCCGTAAAAACACATTCTTTTCCAACCTTTAAAAAGGGTATGTAAAGTACTCCTGCAGCAAGCCTGTGGATTCAAAACCTCCCGAGTTTAGCTGAAGTAACTGGCGCATGTTAAACTACAAAACAACAGTCGAGGCTATCAGTGTTTTAAAGTGTAAAGTCGGCGCTCACTACACAACATCCCCCTGCTTCCATCACTTGCGCAATCGGTCTTAAATGTGCTGGATTTTGGAGTGATAACAGGTCCACCGTAATGGGTGAACCGATTGGCAGCAAGAGCTGCAAAAACTTTACCAAAAAAAAAGACAAAGGCAAACAACACAGGTGCAAAAGCTCTCCTTTCAAACCAGCCATACCACACACACACTCACACTCACATACACACTCATAGGCTACATACATTCAGGCTATTGGCTCCATGTTCAGGCTGTGTAATCCTGCTCATGCAGGCAGCGCCAAATGCAACACAATGCGAGCAGAGGCTGTTGAACTTACCTAGAGTCGGTTTGCAGTTTCACCTGGAAGTTCACACAGTCCGCTCACTTTGTGCTCCTGCACAACTATGAAAATCTTAGTGTATCGACCGTCTCATTGGCTGAGTTGAAAGGGTAATCTCTCTCTCTCTCTCTCTCTCTCTCTCCCTCTTTCTCTGCCTCCCTCCCTCTCTCTCCCTCCTCCTCTAATCGGAAATGTGTGTGATCCCCCCAGACGTCCAGTCACGAATACCCCAGTTGCAGTATAATGGGGGGTTGCAGCAGAGCAGTATGCATTGCATACTTTCTCTATTAAAGCATGTTTCAAGAAAGAACGACTGGGGTAGGAGGGTTTAAACACAGGAGCCCGCCCAGAAAGGCTCACCGTACCACCCACTTGACACAGGAAAAGAGAGGGAGTCGGGCATCAGCAGACTGGAAGGCAGAGTCTGGTTCCGGGGTTCCCAACGTGGGGTCCGGGGGCTGGGAAGTTCCCCGCGGAAGGCAGGAAAAGGTTCCGTTTGCTTCAGTAGAGTTGATGGTGAGATCACACTGTTTTCGAGCAGAGGTTTCACTCTCTCGCCCTGCTGTTATCTCCCCACCCACAGTGCTGAGACACACGTCTGTAAGTGACAGCAATGGACAGAATTATCCAATAGAGTCTCCGAGAACCAAGTCTGAACGACAGTAGTCCGGTGTTTGTTTGAGGAAAAACGGACCCTGATTTGGGTCATTTAACCGAGTACAACAAGCACATTAGAAGTGAACAGCAATGACAGGACAAACGTGGCCGCTGCTTTAGCAAAATAACATTTTTATTTAAATGTTCTTATGGAGAACAACATCTTTTCTGGTTTATTCTTGAGAATGTATTTATAGTTTTTATTTTCCACTATTAGCTTAATTAAATAAAAAATAATATCCTCCTAGAGTGGATGTGTAGTTTCAAAACGAAATCTGTCATGGTCCTTGCTTGCTTTGTTGTGGTTTTTTTTGTTCCTTTATATTTATGTTTAAGTTTTACATGCTGACCACATCTGGCTGAAACTATACCTAAAATAGTTTTTTGGTCTTAATGATTTTCCAGCAGTAGCCTTGTAAGTTTGTGCAAACTGATAAACAGAGATGGAAATATTTGAACCATAGTAAATAGACATTCCAGGGATGGCTAATGCCAGACGTCTCAAGGAGTCATGTCAGGTTAAAGTTTTAAGTTACAAAGAGCTTCAACAATTTAGTGTCAGTAATTCAGATATTCACAGACTGAATATTCTGCGAAACCAGATAAACATTTAGAGAAAAATCAATCATAACCAAAATTATACATTTGAATAGACAAAATATTTATCTCATTCAACCCACACACCATTCCTTAGGTTATTACAATAAATTGCATAAAGCAGAATAACAAAGAACCAATTAGCATATTTTTTTTGTGGCAGCATTTATCAAAAATTTCCCAGAAGCTCTTGGTAGCAGTTACTGAGAACTGGTAGTCATATATGAATTTGATTAGTCATCACTATAAATATTACTAAATGAAAGTGAACAGAATGACGCCAAAATCATAACTGTCAGTTTTCCATTTCCAATCGCTGAATACAGCAGGAGGATAATTGGCCATCATCAGCTAGAGGTGAAAATGGTCTATGCCTCAGTCCTATTAGTTCCTATTTCTGCAAAAAAAAAAAGAAAAAAAATTGTGTTCTAGACAAAATAGAACATAATGAAAATTACCAAGAAAATGAAACATCAAGCTAGAATTGGGAATGAGAGAGAAGTGAAGAGTTGAGGGTTGGGGGGCATGAGAGAAATTGTGTGTGTGTGTTAGAGAGAGTTCACTGCTTGTCCACAGGCTGGTGTGTCAGAGATTCAGCTGGACTCTGATCTTGAGGTTTATTTAAGCTGAATTCTGTGGGCTCATCAGGACCGCGTTATAAAAATCCTCCTATAGAACTAGAAAGAATGTGCAGCGCATACAGTTCTGCATAAGGCACAAAGGCACGTCTTTGGAGGTGGGGCAGGCATCAAAAGACAGACATTGGAGGGATTTCTTTAGAGGCTGAGGGCAAAGAAGGTATTTTGGAGCTCCATTCAATGCTAGAGAGTAGAGGGGAGGCATACCGTTTTGTGATAGAAGGTGCATTTCCAGGAGATGTTAGAAACTTAAAAGCTGTGCTGCAAACCCCCCACACCTCCTGTTACCGGAGGCTAATTAACCCAAGTTATTTTTCTGTGAACCTGTGAGACTACAACTAGTTTTGATCTCTTATTAGTTTTTGACGAATAAATAACAGAACTCATATTTAGCACATGTTGGCATTTAAAACATTGTTTACTACAAGCTATAATTTATTTATGAAATATAAGAACTGTTTATTGCATTTGCAAACATTTGTATTTGGCAACATTATGTGGAGACTGAGGTATAAACAGATAATGAATGATAATATAGTTTAACACAATTTTAAAAAATAGAAAAAATGACTTCATAGGCAAAGCGATCGTTTCTGACAAACACTAATACTTAAATGTGTCATTCAAGCTGCTTGTAACTACATTATAGTGTGTTAAAAATGATTTATTAAATATATACTGCTTATACATGCTACACAGGGGGTCATCAAGTATAGTAAACCTGAAGTTAATTTTCCAGAATCATCTCTGACTTTTGTTTTGCACCTCTCTATGTCATTATGTTTTAGGAATGTAAATGTTTTCTGTTTCTTCTGTCTGATGGATTTTGGCTGCTTGCAACAGGCAGTTCATGAATTTAAATTACCACTACTGATGGACCTTAATGTTGTTTTTTTTAGGAAACAATAATGTTAAAACTACAATCGCATACAAAAATACATTCTGATTATATTTTGCGATATATTATTTGATTTTTTTATTGTAAAAGAAATATGGGAGAAAAAAAATGTAAATGGTCAACTGAGGAACCGCTCAAAAGGGGCTTAAAAGCAGGTTTGAGCAACCCCTTCATGAATGTCTCTAAGCCATCTCCATGACTTTCTTTATCCAGTCTACGTAGACAGAGACACGGATGAAGATATTGGGCTGTCCAGGGTGTCCGCAGCGCCTCATGGGGATGATCACACCCTCGAGTACCCAGCAATCCCTGTTCTGACACGCCAAAGGGCCGCCGTAGTCTCTCTGCAGACACACAGGAACAGCACTCTGGAGTCATTATTTGTCTCTGTTATGACTGACTGTCACTACTGAGGTTGGAAACAGCTTGCAGTCACATCTTGTTCAGTCCATCTCCATTATCCAAATGGTGAAAGTGTTTGAGTTATAGGAGCATAAAAATAGTTGCACAGTCTAAAGTGATCTTCGTCATCAAAAGGTTTTCACCATCGGTATTTGAAGCATTAATTCTCAGAACCTTCTAACATTATTTCTACAAACTTTACAACATTGTTCTTGGTCATTAAAAATTGTTTTAAGGAATACACTTAATTGCTTTCTTGCCAAGACTTATATCATAAGATCAATAACACTTTTGTGTTTGTATGGTAAATATGATGCTACACCAAACAGTTGGTTAACTTAGCTTAACATAAAGACTGGAAACAGAGGAAATGGCTAGTAACGGTACCCATCTAACAGCATGTCCAAAACTCACAGGCACATAACGCCCCTTTAGATCATAAAATGTCTGCTTCTTACTTCTGGTTTTGTATGGATTTAATGTAAATATGAAACTGGTAAATAAAAGTGACCACAATGCCAAACTTCTGGCATTGCAACACTGCAGTAAATGTAAAAGAAAATGGTCAGTGTTGGTTCAGCCTGGCAGCCTAGTTGTCAACAATGGGCCACATTCACCAACGTGTTTTCTTAAATTTCTTAGCAATGTTCTTAGGAAGAATCTGCGAAGAAAAGTCTACATCTGATTCATCAACATATTCTTAAACCACAGAATTGTTTGCACCTGTGTTGTTATATTGATGAATCCCATGTGTTCATAAGTTGAAAGCATGTCCCAGCCATTCCTAATTAGCACAGGTTAACACCCTACCAATGCCCATAAAGGGCATGAGACTGCAAAGCCGTGTGCACACAGGAAACTCACGCAGGAACGGAAAACAGAAGTTGAGAAATCCAGGAACGCTACAACAAAAATGTAAACACAGTGGAGCAATGAACTCCAAACTAAAGAAAATCTTGAGTAGTTATGAAGTGAAGAACAACGAATGAGCTGTCATATTTAGTAGTGTCAGTAGTGGATATAAAATAAAACAAAAAAACACGCATGGGATGCTCTTACTTGTTCAGTGGAGAAGGACAACTGATGAATTAAAAAGATGGTTTGAGCTCTGATCCGAGGCAACAAAACAAACACAGAAGAGAGACGCTGACCAGTGGAGGAGGACAGGCTGGCCCTGAGTTATCTGAGCTGGACCAATGCATCGGGGCCATACACGGCTCTCTTGGGTGTGCCATCAGCTGAGTGTACTCCCCTGCGTGCACTCAGGTCCCTTCAACTGCACTGAGTCTGATCTCAGATGTGGTGCTGGACAACCAAATACTTACACGAACAGCCTCAACCCTGGCCAAAATATCCAAGAGACACTTAAGGAAATGAACATACAGTGGGTACGGAAAGTATTCAGACCCCCTTAAATTTTTCACCCTTTGTTATATTGCAGCCATATGCTAAAATCATTTAAGCTCATTTTTTTTCCTCATTAATGTACACACAGCACCCCATATAGACAGAACAACACAGAATTTTTGACATTTTTGCAGATTTATTAAAAAAAGAAAAACTGAAATATCACATGGTCATAAGTATTCAGACCCTTTGCTCAGTATTTAGTAGAAGCACCCTTTTGAGCTAATACAGCCATGAGTCTTTTTGGGAATGATGCAACAAGTTTTTCACACCTGCATTTGGGGATCCTCTGCCATTCCTCCTTGCAGATCCCCTCCAGTTCTGTCAGGTTGGATGGTAAACGTTGGTGGACAGCCATTTTCAGGTCTCTCCAGAGATGCTCAATTGGGTTTAAGTCAGGGCTCTGGCTGGGCCATTCAAGAACAGTCACAGAGTTGTTGTAAAGCCACTCCTTC